CAGAAAGATGGATTCGTTTTTCCTGTTTATTATTGTGCAATACCATCATTTTCCATCCACAACACTATTATAACCTCCAAGACATCACTTCCAGTATTACAAATCCAAGATAGATGGGGATAAAGCAGAACAGTGTCCTTCTAAGCAATACTGAGCTCCTCACAGAGGTTTTAAAAGATACAACCCTAAGAGAAACAGAAAGATGTGAGACCAGCAGTTTCTCCTCAAAGTGAATAAATAGAAAACCCCAAAAAAACAGTGAGCTGAACCAGAACCCTAGATGTACACACTTGGTGGCTCAGCATTGTGAAGCTCAGGAAAAATCCTCACATGTTGGATTGACAGTTCTGCTTTCAGAAATATCACAGCTCTTTGAATGGTGCTTGGCTTGAAGTTCACTTCACAAAGCAGCAGAGTTAGCATGGTGACCTTACAGGTCTTCAGAAGTACCACATTTACAGCTCTTAAACATCTTCAAATTACTAAAGTGGGCTAAAGAACAACATAAAGGATGCTTCAAGCCACTAAGTAAAAAAAAAAAAAAAAAAAAAAAAAAGCTTAGCTGCCTTGCACATGTGACTTGTGGTTAGACTTGTTAAAACAAAATGCAAACTATGATCAAGGCTTCTCACAGTCACAATATCAGCTAATGGCCTCTTCAACATGGTTTTTCCTGAGATCTAAAAAGGCTAAGCTTACACTGCAGCCTTTTGATAGAACAGATCTCTTTTCTAAAGCTTCGAAAAAACCCTAACCTTCAGAAACAAGTTTACCAGGGATTCATCTCACCCATCTTTGGACACCCACAACCTGTTACTCCACAGCCCCCTTGCAGTCAGCGGAGCAGAGGCAGCACCGTACGAGGCCACATGCTCCAGCCCTGTCAGACAGGGGCAGTGGGACTACCAAAGCCCCACTCCCCGTGAAAGCAGCTAGAAGCCCTGTGCAGGCCTGTGCTGCTGATGATTTGACCGGGGCTCTGCTGGATGCGGGGAGCTCCCCTCCGTGGGGCTGACTCATCCTGTAGCAGCTCCGGCACCACACGCCCTGACGAGCTGAAGGCGCTGCCAGCCCTGACAGAGCCGGGCCCGCAGGCCACGTCAGCCCTCCCTGGGCCAGCATGACTCAGGCTGGCAGTGGCCTTCTGCTACAGCAGCCCTCTGCACGCTCCCACACAGCACAGCAAGAAGGGCCGTGCACCAAACGGCTCCGTAACGGAGGAAACTCCTCTGACCTACCTGCGTACCACCTCCCGTCTTCATACTGAGTACTGGGGCAGTAGGAGAGAACCAAGCACAACTCCGTTAAGGCTAACCCAAAAGGTTTTAAAAAGTAACAAAACCACCACAAGAACGTTGTTCACATCATCTTTTCTGCATATATATATATACACACACACACGATTTTATCTTTCTGTATTTATATAGGCATAGAAGAGCTGACACTGGTTCTAACGCTACAGAAAAGGACTGAGCCAAGAGACAAGTTATCCATGGGAGATCTTCCTTCCTTGCTTTCTTCAGTTTTGGCCCTGACTCACAATGACCGAACACAACTTGCTTTGGTACTCTATGCCTCAAACTTCGCATTTGTACGAGTAGCTTGAGCTTCATGTATTTCATTGGCATTCACATGACATTATTTCAATCACACTTTGAACAGCCAAATACCAGAGGCAGCAATATCACCAGAACAAGTACACCATTTGCATTTCTGCAGGGATTGGTGATGTCAGCTGGGGAGTGGAAACCCCCCAAAACACCAAGCAAAGACAGATACTGTAACCCTACATTATGAACATATATTTGGTTCTGAACATCATAACTACAAAAGCTCATTTATTTACAGAGCCATTCTACACCCTGGGAGTTTAGATGAGCTGAAGTCCTGGCTGCTGATGCACTTCGCTTTGCAAAGAGTTAGGTTATGTCCAACACTACTATACCAGAAAGATTTATTCACTGGGAGCAGCCAGGGGTCTCCGCAGAGTGCGTGCAGTAAGTGCAGCAGAGGCCAAGTGGCAGTTACGTGTGCTGTTCAGTAGTTCTGCTCATTTCAGATGGACAATGCCAGGTAACAAAGCCACAATGTGTCCCAAGTGAATATGCAAGCAAGTTTTATTACTCAATACTGTTTCCTGCAATAGACAGAAAGACAGAATGAACTGTTTGCATCAGAGAGCCAAGCATAGGTTTTAAGGAGGAATTGACCTCATGGAGAATGGGGAGAAAGGACGGAGACATGCACAGCCAAGCCACCTATTAAATAACCACAGAGGTTAACCACTGCTAAGAGTCAAACTGTTAGCATTTCACTCACTGTCCACAGGAGTATGACATGATGCTCTTCTCCCCACAATGTGGGGATTTAGAAACAGGATAAGCAGGAACAGTCAGCTGAGACATTGGAAGAATCTCACCCTCACCACCATTTCTCCTGTAACTTGTCAGCTGCTCAAACTCCAGCATTTATAAAGAAAAACTTTAGTGTTTACTGCCTGACAGTTACTTTGGTAAAAGACTACCGAGCAAGGAGAGCAAGAAAACTTCTTCCCCATTAGACTTCTATACTCCAATCACAAGGCTACAAATACATATTACTTCTTGCCATAACATCAACTATCACATGCTAGGGGCCTTCAGAGGAGCCCCCACAGATTGAGCTCAATGCCCAACCATCAGCATCACAGAATTCAAAAGGCTCTCTAAAGAAGCAAACCCATTTTGCTATCCCACTTTCCATTTCTACCACATGCCCTGCCTGCACAGCTCCTCCCAATATACCCCCATCTCCTTCTCATTACTGTTTAGTTTGTTTCCAACAGTAAAATTGATTTGGCTTTCTTTCTGCCATGACCCTTCCTGCATGATCCTGAACACCTGCATGGCCATTCTGAATATATGCACAACCCAACAGTACTAGCTACACAAAATCAAGCTTGTTTCAGGTTTGTACTTGAACTAATATAAAGTTCTAGTGTGTTACTGAGTGAACATGGGCATTCTGACCACCTCCTTGTATTAATGAACATCTGAGTAAGAAATTAAGCACAGAAAACTGACGTTTCTGGAATAAAGACAGAACACAGAGACAGGCTTTTCTGGATTGCTGCATAAACAATCCATGAAGAAATGTTTCGAGTGATGTTTGAGAGCGTCTTTATAGAAGGCTTCAGTTTGTATAAGCTAACAGTACTTCAACCAGAAGCAATAATGCAGTACAGATCAAAAATATCTACACAGATACCAAGAGGAAAAAAAAAAGAAATCAAGAGAGTCTTTATACTAATAAGTAAGTTTTAAGTAATTTAAATCCATGCTCTGTTACTTATCTTGCAGAGGTAGCCTGGGCAGACACATTTTGAAGTGAAGATTTAAATCTACACTGCTATTTCCTCATGCAAACTTCTAACATTTAAAGGCTTATTTCTGTAAAAGTGAGAGGTTGCACATAAAAAAAAAAAGAAACTGACCCTAGCAGCAAGTGTTCTCTCCAAACTCAGTTGGAGAAGCTCCACTCTGATGGACTTTTCTGACGCAAGCTTTGTTAGAATACCAAGTGACTTTGTATATCCTTCATATCTTGGTTAATCTGAAAATAATCATCACTGAGGATAAAAGCTGTGGAACAGGAGTAGCACAGAGGTAACTCTGCAATGGCAGAGACTACTTACGGTTTACATGCACAGAGGCAAAAGAACACTTATATTCTATGCTAAGCTATATTTTAAAAAAATTAAGGTCTGATCCTGTGAGGCAAACACCTCCGCCCCCTATATCTTCATATGGAGGTGAGATAGCTGCCATGGAAGAAGTCTTACAAGTGCAGTGTTATTTCACCAGCGTTCACGCATACCTTATATTCATGCCCCACCTAGGACCAATTCCCAGCAAGGTTAAGACTCTTGAGTACACCGTTAGTCTCAAAAAACACACACAAAACCACCTGCAATAAATGCTTACTCCTCTGCACATGCAAACATTAGTACAAGTTACAAGTAAATTAGTCCTACACCACAAAAGCTCATTAATGCAGCAGATTCAACCAGAGCCATAGGAAACAAAACCAAAGCAAGCAAAGCAGCAAAAACAGGTTTTAAAAAAAAAAAGCAGAATGACTGTGTGAGATCATGAAACACCCAAATTATCATCAGTAATACTAGCAGCCCAGTCAAACAGTATTTGGGGTTGATTTGGTATCACTCTTTTACATACCATTTGAAGGTATCTGATCATCACAGAGTTCTCATTCACCTAATTAGCTGGTGGACATGCTGAAAAGAGTAGAAAGCAGTAGATAGGTAGCAGTACTTGAGCAACATTTATAAAGGAACTGAAAGCAAATGAAGGAGAAGATTACTGATCTTTTTCCCCCCGCCAAGTCAGTAACCGACTAGGGTCTTCCTTTCCCCCACTCAAAACTGAAATGCAATTCCACTACCCTTAGAAGCAATTTTCATTAGGATCTCTCAGAACAACATTTGTAGAATTAAAGGGGGGAGGAGAGTCCTGTTTGTACCTTAGGTCTGATACAACGTGACATGCATTGCAAAAATACACAACCTGCTTTGAAAGTGTATATTGTGGTAGTCCAGAGTTTAAAACTTGGAAACTCCATCCATGCTCATTTCACAGAAACCATATAAAATTACAAGTGGATGACTCTAATAGAAAGTACAGGCCCCGAGTTCAGAGCGATTGATTTAGATTTTCCCAAAATGTATACGCAGGCACAGGTGCATTGCTGACTTACAGCCAAGAGTTAGCACATGACTTCCAGCATCAACCTTTCTTTTACAAGTCAGCCAAGTTTAAAAATCATGGACCAAGACTGCATGACGCCTTTAATTTTAAACTGTACAGATCATACCCAGTAGGACTTTATAAAGTCAACAAAAAGTCAACAACGCTGCCAATCTGATCTTATCGAGCCACTTGGAGAAATACCTTCAACTTTCTACCTACACACCATGCTTCAAATATATGTATGTGATTCTTTACCTTTAATAACGAAGGCTTCAGTCACCAAACGCAGCATGTACAGGGGTTCATCTTTTGTAGAGATGTCATCGATCCCTGCTTTTGCATACATGCTGATGGCATCTCTGTAGGATCCCTCTGCGTAATGAAGCTTCCCTAGGATCAGCATAGCTTCTACCATATACTTAGGCTGAAACAGAAGTGAGGGGAAGAGAGCATTTACACAGTAAAATACCAAAAGGGCACAAGTGAGGTACTTTAGCACAAATTAAGAAGATTCAAAATGTTTTGTTTTTAACCTTGTCAACTACACAGTTTGGAGAAGTAAGGATTTAAGTGTCTAGATATCTTAGCACTGTGCTTATGAGAGCAGCAAGCCACAAAGGTCAAGGAATTACTTTGGAGCTCAGTTTGGCAACACACAGCTTACAAGTCACCTCTTCCCTTGCCACTGACCTATTCTATTGATTCACCAGCCATGGATAGCACTAAAGCCTGTCACTATCATAACTAGACACACACACCAAGGAAATCCCCTGCTTTTAAGCTGTATAGAAAACATTTTTCAGTCATTCAGTTACTGGTCCCCTCTGCTCTGTACATTTAATTAAAAAAAAAACAAAAAAACAAAACAGGAAAGTTCCCAAGTTTTCTTAAGTTCTCAAAAAATTTTCAGGCAAAAGTAGAGGCAGAAGGCATGCCTGCCATTTCTAGAATTTGTTTAGTATTGAAAATGTGTATACAAATGCGTGCAAAAAACCCTACACTTATTAAAAGACAAACATTTGGGCCCTTTCTAATGTTTCAGAAAGCAGAAAAGGTTCCTAATCCTTCACCCTCGTTTTTTAAACACATTCAGTCAACAGAGGTTCATGAGTAGCCTGAAAGTAACTAACATGATTAGCCAAATCTCCGCTACAAAGAAACAGTAATGGCAATTCACTAAGCCAAACCTAACACCTAGTCCTGGAAACAAACAAACCAAACAGCAACAACAACAAAAAAACAACCAACCAACCAAGAACAGTGTTTTTGGCTGTTACTGGGGTTAAACTATAAAGAAAAAGAGTTGAATGAATCCTCCTTCCTACCCCATCTTTTTATTTAAATACACTGACTTTTGAGAAGATACAAACAAGGAACTGCCCCACATGACAAAAAAAAAAAAAAAGCTGAACATGGGCTCTGTTGCAAGTAACATGATCAACATATAACATCCACTTGCAAGCTTGTTACCCTGTAAGTTTCAGGACCAGGCACAGTACAAGCCTAGAACTTCAGACTTGTAATTTGGAGTCCTATTAAAGCTGTCCAAAGTCAACAGTAACCTTTGAGGCAGTGTCTTGAAACTCTCCTAAAGCCCTCTGCAACTTAGCTAATGGGCAGCTATGAACCACGCACTCAGAACATGAAACAAAACTGAGACTAAGTTGGCATAACTTATCTGTCACAGACTGAAAACAACACAAGGCTGTAACCTTGGACTTGCACTATGACCTCAATGGCCCAGCAGCAGCATGAAGCACATTTTACCTCTGTCCTGGTGTTGACCAGGTGCAATTCCCTCAGCCCCAGAGCGGCAGGAGGTTCCTCAGCCAGGCAAGCCCTGCAGCACCATTAGAAGGCCCTGCACCACGGCTGCAGAGAGCTCCTACATACTCAGCCCACGTCTTTGTAATTAAAAAGAAGGATACATTTGTAATACCTAACCTGTTTGGATGTGAAAAAGCAATCTCTCAACAGAAGACACTGCAGAGGGGCATTGAATTACCAGGACATCAGTAACACCTATAAACACAGCACTGTACATAGAGGGACGTGATAAGGCAATGTCACCACCCTGTACCAGGCTAACAATCACGTGAAAAAAAGCATCAGGTTATCAGCAGTTACAGTGACAGAGCCCACTTACCCGCAGCTTTCCTCTGCTTAAGATGTTGGTCAGGCACTGCTTAGCCTCACCCAGTTTGGGCTCGTTCTTCTCTGTCAGGGGGATGGAGTCCTTCAGTTTGGCAAAGTTTTCCTGCAAGCATTCTTCCAGCAGGACTTCGGCAAGCAGCATGTTCCCATAGTCCTCTGAAAGCACATCCCACCCAAGCAGAAACATCACTGAGCATTTCTGAATGCTATTATCAGCGCTGCTTTATTTAAGTAGCATCACATTAACATTTAAACGGGATTAGGAGAAAACTCATCATCTGCAAGACACATAAATAGTAACTCTGAGGGGTGAGAGGAACTAGCAGAGGAAAAAGGGAAGTTGTGTTAACTCGGGGATATTGGGAACGTTGTTATCTATGAAAAATAAAGTGAGGCTTCCTTTTAATTAAAAGGATTTTTGCCTGATTGGATTGGTTCATTTTGGTGGCACAATTTACTCTTGTGTTGTCACTAATGTAAGAACTAAGAGTTGAAAAGGGGGCTTTGTGATGAAAAAGCATCAGATTTAGCAAGCATTTAACCACACGCTTAAGATTTATAAGTGCACAGGAATATAAGTTTGCTGCAGATTCGGTATAAGGCATGAAGTTAGCTTACTGCAGAGCAGCAACCACATCAGAAGCTTAAATATTTTGCATTAAAGAACTGTTTTCTAGGAACTGTACGATGTAAATCTTGTTAAAAGACCCCACCGGCCAGCGCTGCTGCGGCTCCCGGCTGCATTCATTCAGGAGCACCTCACACAGTGCACTGAGCGGAATAGGGTAAGGACACCTCCCTACACCCCACCAGGGCACCCTGCCTTCCCCACAGCCCCTGGTGTCGCCCCCCTGACACCGCGGGCACCCCTGCGGGCAGCGCCCTCTGAGGACGCGCCCCGCGGCTCCCCCAACCGCCGCTCGGCACAACCGGCACCCGGCGGGGCTCCCCCCTTCCTTCCTTCACCCCCTCACCGGCTTCCTCGGCGCCCGCCGCCGCCTTGCGCGGGGCCCTGCCGTGCGGCGGCAGCTGGTGGCGCAGCAGCTGCCGGAGCTGCGCCCAGTGCCGCTCGGCCCGGCAGCGCTCCAGCTCCCCGGACAGCTTCACGTGCCACAGCGCCGCCATCTTAGCGCCCCGCCGAGGGCGGCTCCGCGCCGCGCCCACCCCGCCGCAAGCCCCGCCCACATAGGGCGAGGCCCCGCCCACCGAGGGCGAGGCCCCGCCCCCTCCCCGCCGCACCTGCCAGGTGCAGCCGCGGGGCGGGGCGCTGAGGGGAGGGGAGCGGGCAGCGGGGCGGGGCGGGCGCATGCGCAGTGGGCCGGGAGCAGGGCCCCGCTGCACCTGGGGGCCAGGGCCGCCATCGCGCGGCGGTTTAACGGCCGCGGGCGGCGGTTTAACGGCCGGGCGCTCCGCGCGCTCTGTTTGTTGTTTCCTCTCCACAGGAGGCTCGCCATGGCCCCGAGGGGTGCGGGAGCGGCGCTGCTGTGCTGCTGCCTGGCCGCCTGCCTGCTGGGCGCCCCGGCGGAGGAGAGCCAGCCCGCGGGGATCCGCCTGGACAAGAGCCTGGTGCAGGACAAGGAGTACGTGAGGGGCAGGGCAGCCGGGGGGCGGCTGCTGGCCCTGCCAGGGGCTGGGGAGCCGTCAGCACAGCTCGCACCAGCGCTTCCTTAGCTGCCTAGTTGAGGTGTGAGGGTAAACGCGCTTCCTGCAGTCCCCTCGCGTTGGGGAACAGCCCCAAGGAGGCTCTGAGGGCTGCTTGGGGTGTTTTGATAACCAGTTCAGCAGGCCAGGAGCAAGAGGAATAGCTACCTGAGACACTAGAGGCCACTGCAGCACCTCTAAGGAGCAGCCGCTGTGCCTGCCTCGTTTCAGTGTAAAACTGTCAGCTGTCCTGCGTGTCCAGGGTGCTTTTAGAGACACAGTGCTTCCTGGGCACTTGGCTGCTTGAGCAAAGACTGCGTTTGATGTCAACAGAGAATTAAATATTAACTAACTGGCATGTCACTTGTTGTGTGTTGTTTTTTTTCTTAGCCACATCATGGAACATTTGGAAGGTGTTATCGAAAAACCAGAATCTGAGATGTCTCCACAAGAGCTGCAGCTTCATTACTTCAAAATGCATGATTATGATGGCAATAATTTGCTAGATGGGCTAGAGCTCGCTACCGCTATATCACATGTCCACAAAGAGGTAGGTGGTATATTGTAATGGCTTGTGCGTTTGCAAGCAGTTCTGACTTTCTTAAATCAGCTTTAGGTAGCATTGTCACAACACACCTTCAGTTACAGTAGAACAGTTTTGTGTGAAAACGAGACTGTTCCCCCTTCAGCTTGATTTATAAACGTACTAACTTTACCATAGTTTTTTCATGACACAGCACAGTTTTAAGGAGACTCCCCTGTAGTTTAAGCTTGACTGTGAGTGAAGACTGCAAATAATTTAACAAAGGGGATAAGCAGGGATGAGGAGAGGAGAAAGGGAAATTGTCCATAATAGAATTAGATTGATGTGTGATTATAGAAGTAGCATGTGACACAATGCTGCTGCAGGTTTCTAAGCCAACTGTTTTCAGGCCCAAACTACCACTACCATGGATACACCAAATGTAAGAGACCTCTTGCACAAACTCAGCTTAGAAGAACCAGTCATGGTCTGCCGTTGTTTTCTTTACCATTTCTAAACATGTTTTCCTCCCAGCTACAAATGTTTAAGAACAAAAGCAAGTATGATCCTTAGGAAGACAACGCTTACAGAAAATCATGTACTGACCTTTCAGAAATTACAACTCAAAATAGCATAACTTTATATATACCTCTGGGGAAAAAAACAAAAAAACTTGTCAAGAACACAATAATGGCTTGCTGTTTCTTGTGCAAGGGCACTTCTTCTCATTCCCCTTTGTTCCTAAGAGGTGATACTAAGAATTTTACTATCTTTAAGCTACAACAATGTATTGAAGGTGCTGTTGTGTTTTTTTTTTTAACTGCGAACTCCATATGTTACAAGTTCATATGTTACAAATATATGAAACATGTTACAAACATGTACATGTTACAAACATATGAAACATGTTATATGAAATATGTTACAAAACATATGTTACAAACTCCATATGTTACAAAGGATGATGTTTCTATACAGTATAGAAACTGTATGTCTGTGCAACATAAAGATTCAAATTAAGAATATGCCTACTAGGTTAGTCTATTGTTGTACATTGTGCTATTTAGCTTTTAGATCTCTTGGCTAAGAATATAAACTGGATGTAATGGATACAAAGCACTTGTTTTGAAGTACAGAGAACTTGGACTTAATAGCTTGCATCTGGTAAAAGTTCCATGTATTGGAACAAATGATTATATAAAACTTAGAACCACCTTAAACATCAAACACGAACTGCTTAACAAAAATTAGTTGTCAGTAATCTGTCACATGTGCCACTAGATGGGAAACACTGCTAAACTTGTTTCTTTTCTTTTTTTTTTTTTTTTTTTTGTAGGAAGGTGGTGAGCATACCCAGGCAATGAAAGAAGAAGAGCTAATTAGTCTAATAGATGATGTCTTGCGAGATGATGATAAGAATAACGATGGGTACATTGACTATGCAGAATTTGCAAAATCACTGGAATAAGGTTTTGCAGGGGGCTTGTTTCTCCCAGCTAAGTGGAAATGTGACCTGGTATAATGTGATGTATTACTCCTGTTGATCTTTGTGCTGCAGTGTTAGTGAGGAGAGGTGTACCAGTTGCAGCTGAATTTCCTTGAAAATTGTACCTGTTAAGGGGCTGGCTAATGCAGACTGATAGCCGTGTTTGACTAAATGGTTGAATCTTGAAGCACAGAAGCATCATCAGTATTCTCAAATTCCAATTTTTGACTATTGGGTTATATTGTACTTACTTGCTTACATCTTAAAATTATTTTTGCTTACATCTTAAAATTATAAAATACCTAGAAAGCAAGAAAAGATAACTGCATGTGTCAAGGAGATGACCGTATATCAAGGAGGAATTTCCTTACCTTCCCACTAATTTCAAAGGAGACTTGCATACAAGTACATGTGCTTAAAACAGCAATTGTAGAGGAAAAGTGTTTGAAAGTGACTTGTGTTGGAGGTCCCCATGACACCCTGTGGGCTTTTAACACTATGTTGCAAGAAATTGAGCATTTTTAAATAGATGTATATCCTAGTATACCCTCAAATGTTATATATAAATATGTATACGTGATTTTCAATTTATTCTCATCCTTCACAAATTTACTTTTTATATTGCATTTTACTAAATTTTTCTCTACCTTCCCTGGTCTCTTCTTACAAAAATGAAAGTATTTTATTACATTTATAATGTTGTATTAATGCTGCATAACATTTACTAGAGTAGCTTCTGCTATCTCGTTTTGAAGGTCATGTTAACAGTAAACCAATTTAATATGAAAGATTCAGTTCAATTTGATTCTTACAGTATTAGCCAGCAGGATAATCTGTGAGCAAGTAATGCTGCCTTGTTGAGGTTCAAGTTCATTTTCCTTGACGCTTAAATTATGGTGTTAATTTCAGGAGGTAGTTCATAACTAACAGTTTGAAGATACTTGAATGTTTGTGAATGAACATGGTTCTAGGAATGTCTTGAGTCAATAATTGGTAAGCCAAGCAGTTTAGGGATATGAAACAAGTGGTGTATTGCTGCTTTGTTGGTATTTGGTAACTATAAAGCATAGCGGAAATCTTAAATTGCATTCAATCATTATCCATGAATAGAGAATCTAAATGTTAGCATTTCTCTAAAATGTATAAAGAGCTATTTTCTGTACAAAATTATTCTTATACAAAGAAACACATTTGTAAAAGAAATTACTTCCTTTGTTTAAATGTTTGAGCAACGAATGAATGAGTGTTGGACTTTTTTTTTCTTACAATAACCACTTATTTGGATGCATTTGTAGCCAGGGTTGTGCTGGTTGTGCGAGCAATAAAAATAATTTGGGGTTCTAGCACTTTGGAGCTGGACATGCAAGGTGGGAAGTCTCTGTTGGCCTTTTTAAGGCCATCTCTGTTGCTAGCAGCCATACTAAAAGCAAAGTTCTTTTTTTACAGCACAATTAATTTGGAGTGAATGTTGAATCTGAATGAAGTACAGAACACGGTTATGGGTAGGAAGGGAGGGGGGACAAGAGGAGATGAAGATTATCATCTTTGGACACTTAAAGGAGGTTGCTCATAGACCTAGCAACTCTTACATGCTTGTACCATAAGCTGCTGTTCTTAAAAATCAGTTAGTTTCCTTATCAAGTACAGTGGTCTTAGATGGAGCTATAAATCCTTAAGCTTAGTACAGCAACCACCTGTGTGGCACAGTTATATAAATAACGTAATTTATATGCATATTTCACATCTATTAACAGCAAGTCTTATGTGGCAAATTACATACACAATGGAAGCTTTATATCAGAAACAATTACGATAAACGTAGGTAATGTGAACAACATTTCTTACTAAATAATTTTATTTTAAGGTGTCATAAGCATATATCGAATTGAGAAACTACTTACCAAAAACAGAGAGCAAAGATAGCACTTTTCTTCATGATGTCTGAAGAAAGAACAATATTCCTGCTTTCCTAGAAAGACAGAACAGTTCTAGAGATGCTATCTAAGCTAAAACCCTGCAACACGATGTCTTTACTCAGCCTCCTAAAACAAATACACACATTTAATTAAGTGCACTTGAAGATAAATGGTTTAACAGCTGTCTAGGGAGATTTCTCCGTTAATAAGTAGGAAAGTGCAAAATTGCTGAGGCAGATGGTGAGTCAGAGTTCTTAAAAAATAAAAAGAATTTGTGTGCTAGTTGTAGCATGTGCATTACCTGAAATGTACAAGTGATATGTACAGGTAGTATATTCCATTTCATATGTGTATATAGATACAGTATAGAAAGTAAGGCCTTTACAACAGGAGTGCTCACCAACTAAAAAGCTGAGTCAGCTGTTGAAGAACAGTACTATCTCCCTTTCACATCTCGGTAACAGATAATAAAGCCAGAGGGGTGTATGATTTGCTGAAGGTCAACAACATCCCTGTCAGAAACAGAAAACTAGGAGAAGCCTGTGCATCATCTTCACCTCTTCCTAGTCTGTGATCTCAGGGAACTAGAATTAGTTTTCCCCATGGGAGAACACAGCTGGCTTTGCATTACTGTATGCTATATTTGTAGTTGAGATAAAGTATCTAGATTGTCCGCTTTGACCTTACAAAATACTGCCTCATCTAGCAGGTAAAGAGAATACTTAAACTGGTTCCTGAACCGCTCATAAACTGAGCTGTTGGTTGTTAGTCCATCTAGAGACCACAGTTTGAATACAAAGGAGAAAAATCTTAACTGCTTATCCAGTACCTGCCAGAATATTAAAGACAAAAATGCCTACAGCAACAGTTTTGTTTGCAAACTCATACAAACTTCAGTACCTCTTTTGGTTAGTCATCCATAACCTCAGAAAATCTTGGATTCATTACAAAGTGATTACAGATTTACAAATCCTGATCTCATCTAAACCCAGACATGAGTACAGACTGGGTGGAGAACTTGGTGAGAGCAGAGCAGCCCTGCAGAAAAGGGCTGCTGGGAGTTCCAGTGGACAAAAGGCTTGACACGAGCCAGCAGTGTGCTTGCAGCCCAAAAGGCCAGCTGCACCCTGGGCTGCACCACCAGAGGACTGGGCAGCAGGTCAAGGCAGGGATTGTGCCCCTCTGCTCTGCCCTTGTGAGGCCCCAGCTGGAGTGCTGCATCCAGCTCTGGGACCTCCAGCACCAGGAGAACATGGGTCTGTGAGAGAGGGTCATGAAGTTGATCAAGGGGCTGGAGCACCTCTCCTAGGAAGAAAGGCTGAGAGAGCTGGGGCTGTTCAGCCTGGGAGGAGACGGCTCTGGGGTGACCTCATTGTGGCTTTCAATATTTAGTGCTTGTAAAAAAGATGGAGAGCAACTTTTTGCTCAGGCAGACAATGACAGGACAAGGAGGAATGGTTTTAAACTAAAAGAGGATTTAGATTAGAGGTTAGGAGGGAATTCTCCACTCAGAGGGTGGTGAGGCAAATACAGGCTGCCCAGAGAATCTGTGGGTGCCCCATCCCTGGAGGTGTTCAAGGCCAGGCTGGATGAGGCCCTGGGCAACCTGATCTAGTGGGTGGCATCCCTGCCTGTGACAGAGGGGTTGGAACTAAGTGATCTTTAAGGTCACTTCCAACCCAAGCCATTCTATGGATCTACTTATATATATATAGTATATATATATATATATCTACATATATATATAAATAGAACCACGGAATTATATATATATATGCACACTAGCAATTCACAAGCACAGTAATCCAGGACTCATGTCATCACCAACACAGCCACTAGATAGCGTATCGACACCGCACATTGGCTCTCTACTCCAGCATGTAACTTGGAGTGATTGGGATGTGGATTTCACCGTAACACCAACCCCTACCCCGATTACAGGCAAGGCCTGCTCCTCTGCCTTCCAGCAGCACGCTGCCAGTATGATGCTCACACTTTTATTACTTTGCAACCGTCTTAAAAATTGATCATAGCCGGGACTGGGTACTGGTCATTCATTTTCATTGTTTAGGGAGTCAAATCTACTTGAGGTGACAGCATTGCAATATTGTCAGTTAAAAAATAAATAAATAACCAGAAGGCTTTCTAATGTGAGCACCAGGCCTGGTCTGACTTCTTGACCATCACTAGCTGACTTGTGAGAGGGTCCATCAAGGTTTCAACCAACATTGACGGAGGTCATGGGGTTTTAGCAGAACCTGGAATCTTACTGGTTTTGCATTTGATGCTAGTAGAAACTGGTGTTGTTTCAAGGCATGGTTCCAATGTGGTCTGTCACATACTTCCACTTAAGATAAAGTTCACTGCTTTCTTCTCTGTCTCCCCCGTGACGGTGTCACTGCCCACTGCACCATGAAACAGTTGCGTAACATTCAAAGTTTTCAGCCAGCAAATTAGAAGCGAGGATCATTGCATATCTTGGTCTGCATTATATATCCTTACAAAGAATTTGTGTTCTAAATGTTTCATCAGCACAGAGAACTGTGTTGAGTGAGGTTTATCACAAGGGCAGTTATTACTGCTGCACAGAATGTTTAAGTTACTTTTTTCTTCCTGTTCTTCATGCTAAATTCTGAACGGCATACTAAATTTTAAGAGCTAAAATGTATTAAAAGTGTCGCTACCTTCCACAGCAGAGCAGCAGTTTTGCAGCTAGGTAGGGGGCAGTGTAACATGACTCAAAGCGTACTGCCAAATATGATATCTTTTAAGAGAAATCAGTACTGCAGTGAACATAGTGTCAACTTCTGCCACTTAATCCAACTCAATGACTGACAGCACTAGGTTTCAAGAAGGCAGATATCAATAAACTCAGAGAGTGTGTAAGGGAGGTCTCATACGAGGAAAATCTAGGGGAAACACAAATTACGGAGAGCTGTCAGTTCCTTCAAGAAATGCTAATAAGAAACCAAGCGCACACTATACCAGTTTGGAGGAAAGTAATGAAATTCAGTGCAAGTCAGCCAATTCGTAACATTTTAATTGACCGCAAGCATGAGGGAGATAAATCTGTAAAGTGGAAACTAGGTCGGCTGTTTGAGAACCCAGCACAATACACCATTCATAGGTGCGTGTGTGTGCGTGTCTGCACAGGCAGTAAAGACAAAGCACAAAAGATGCAACTAGCAAAACATATCAAAATAGAAAGTTCATGAGTAAGGTTGTAAGAAAAAAAGGAAAGTTTGTTTGGACCACAGCTCAAAGACAGGGGATGCTATCAGCAGAGGATGTTAAGGAAGCCAAAGAGTTTAATGTATTTTTTCCCCCCTTTTACTGAAAAGGTCAACAGCAAGCAGACAGTGCAATGAGTACCAGGAATAAAGTGGTAAAATCTCAGCCTGAAATATGAGAAACCTGCTTAGAAAATAACCAGATAAATTAGATGTTTTTGTATTGCCTGGGCTTAATTAACTTCATTCTAGAAGTCTTAAAGGAAGGGTAAAGTAATGGTTATAGATGTCATATAGCTATTTTATTTTATTTTATTTTATTTTATTTTATTTTATTTTATTTTATTTTATTTTATTTTATTTTATTTATATATACTTTTTGCAAGGCCTTTAGCACTATTTCCTCATAAACAGGCTAGTGAGCTGTGTTCAAAATTTAAATTCTGCAGGAAGGGGCAGGCGATCAAGTCTGGTAGGGCAGTTGTATCCACAACAAAATTGAATCAAAGCCTATCAAAATACATGTGTTTTGCGAGGTATTCTGTGGGGCTTGGTCCCATCTCAAGTTTTATCTGATGTTTTCATTGAAGGCATGGAAGATGGATGTGTGGAGAAGTTTAATAGAAGTATGATTATTAAACTTGTGGGGAGCCAGGAAGGACTGCAGATATTATGGATGACAGAATCATGTTTTTAAATATCTTGATACATTTAGAGAAGTCATCTAAAATGGATTTTCATGCCTAAGCAGAAATACTCATCTATCTAGTTAACAATTCACAAGAGAACGAATGTATTGACTATGGTGGAATGCAAGCTGAACATGAGCAGCATAGCCGTGTTTTTACATAAAACACCGACATTGCATTGGGATGTCCAAAGAGTCTTTACAACAACTGAAAGAGTCCTTGTGGTCTAATCCCCACTGTTAACGACTCACCCAGAAGATGGTGTTCTGTTCTGTGTTCTGCGCTCCAAGAGAGATGTGAACTAGCTATCAAGAGGCCAGAGGAGACCAACAAAAATGGACCAGAAGTCCAGAAAACAGGAGAAAAAAAAATCAAGAACCATTTTTTTGTTTGTTTGATTGGTTGGTTGGCTTTTGCCTAAAGAAGTGACATTTGAAAAGAAAGAAGGTGAGTAGTCTTCAGCTAAAAAGAGTAGCGTCAGTCAGTTCTTCAGTCCCAGAGGACTGCCAGGGAGGACAGACCTGCTGCACTGAGTTCCTGTGCTGTGTGCCAGAGCAGTCCGAGACCAGGAATCTCCTGCTCAGTCCTCTCAGTGTACACTCACTGCCACAGAGGCAAAATACAAAGCCCTACTAAGTTTCTACTGAGCACGTTCGAAGTGTGATTGCCAAGAGCTAGAAGCGAACAGTTTGACCCAGAAATGGAGGGGTAAAGCTTATCCCTGGCTCCAAGATAATGTTTAACTTCGGATTCAAGTCCTAGCTCCAAAGCACAAAGCTATCAAGGCTGCTTCTTCAAAAAGGAAAAAAATAATAAAGAAAAATAATAATAAAAAAAGACTATTAAGAGTTTTAAATTGACAAAGTTAATTCCTAGCCCAGTTTTCAGCAAATAATAAACTATTTTTGTTGGTGCTGGGAATATAGTGTAAGAACAACCACAGTTAGTTAAAGCAAAAGTCCATCTAGCCCAACAGATTGTCTCAAATAGTGGCAAAGAACAGATGCTGATGGAATAATATGGAGAAAGTATTGTTGCAGATAAATGGATATATATATGGATGCTGTAGTGATCCCAGAGAACAACACGAATGCAGTGGTGTAGCACAGCTGTACTGTTTCTAGACATCACATGCTTCTTATCTAATGGGAGGCTTTCAAAATTGTCTAATGGTTCTGTTCACCTCTGGTTGTGGTCACACTTCAAGAACTGCCGTTAAAAATTACACAATTTTGAGAAAGCAAAAGCACATATTTTGAAATAAATCCTCTTTAAGAAGAGCAACATTACGCCTCAGAACTTATTTTGTCATAAAACAGAAATAAGTCACACAAAAAAATATTGACTTAAGTGTCATCATCTGTGGCTCGCAGCCACTGGAGACTGACATATTGGCACAAATCATGACAGGTATGATTTCTTGATCCAGGAAAGAGAACTGAGATGAGTAGAATGACATTTGAATGCTGGTCCCTTGGGGAGATATTTTCAGGGAGTTTGCAGAAGTGACTGTAAAACTGTGCTATCAGCCTCAGCGTGGATTGGAGTAGGAGTCAGGAAACACACGGGTGAGGATTTTAGACAGCAACACACGTGTATAGGACTGGTCTAGGAGAAGGAATGCATATGTTTAAGATACACACAGAGTTGTTTAGAAATCTTACATATGCCATCATAAATTTATGAACATGTTGGCACTGACTAGCAAAGTAAAGATCTCCAAAGAACACATAACACATATACATACACCGAGGCAGAAACCACTTTCAGTAACCAAATAATTCTGTCACCAGACAGCCTAAGACTACTCAAAGACACCATTTCTAGCCAAGACCAACAGATTTTAAATATTTTTTTGAATCTAGGCAAATGAATTTTCAGGATATGACAAGCCAAAAAGTCTTTAGGAAAATCTCCAAGCAGATGATCTCATTTTTATCCATCATATCTCTTAAACACCTTGACCAGTTTCCTTCAACTCTTCCAAAAAATCTGTCCCAGAATAAGATTATGCCTGTGAAGTTGTAGGTGTATAGGGCTAATTTTGGCAGAGAGAGAAATCGGAATAAAAGCAAGTTTACAATGGAAACTTAAGGACATCTGCAGTTCACTGAATACTGTTCAGTGTGATCTATCTAATGCAAAATCTTTCCATTGTAGCAAAAAAAAATAAAGCGCTTTTATTATCAACAAGGGAAAAGGCTATTTCCCCCATATGAAGTCCTACCTCTGAGATGAAAAGTCCTGGCAGGTCACACAAATATTTTTGCTTCCTCCCACTAAAATGTTTATAGGATCCAGATTCATTTCCTAAGGTCTGGCTTGAGGATTTCTGCAGAGCATTACACCATGTTGGCAGTGCAGAATTATGACTATTTCTGACTGCAGATGTGTCTCTACCACAGCCCTTATTAAAACTGCAGCACGGCTTTGACATACCCAACTAGCTTGAAATTAGCCTGATCAGGTACTGCAACCATCACACCAACACCCCTGCAGAACACAGCACAACTGCAAAACCCTCCATAAAAGCTGAGTACAGTAAACAGATATATTTTGCAGGCCATTCTGAACACCGTGTTCCTGGAATAACGTTACTCACTGAACACAAGCTAGCTAGTTTAATGGTGATTTAGGTATGTCTAAGCAAGCTCTAAATCATCTGAAGGCCCTCTAGCATGACTAGTTAAAGGAGAACATCCTGGGTGCTTGTAAAACCTGTCTCTAGATTGTTCCTAGCCAATAGCTCCTACAATTCACATTGATGTCCAGTTTGGGAAAACAGCACAGGCACACAGATTTTACTGAGATCTGGAAATTTTCTGGCTTGCGCAATGGTTAAGGGAAAACTCCTCTGGGGAGTTTAACGCAAGCCTTCTCAGACTCCTGTGGCATTTGGAGGTCTTTTCGTTTTAAAGCTCCCTCCAATAAAAATATCCGTAGGAAAAGGGAGAGGGCTATGCAGGCTGCAGATCAGACAGGACATTTCCTCCAGCACGCAGCTGAGCTGCCTTCTGTGGATACTACTCCCAGAAACAGCACTTCATCCTCAAAATTACTTTGTGTCCGCTAAACCCCATGCCACTCCCGACCTGCACCAATGCCACTCGTTAGCAAACAGCTTTCCAACACAAGCACCTCTTGATCTTGCAGGGGGGGAAATGGTCTCAATGGACCAGAGGAAAGTCTTCCTAAAAGCCAAACTCACTCATCTCCAGAGTTAGCAACTTCAGACTGGTGCTCAGACCAGCATGGAGATCTGAAAACCTGGTCCTGACACCATCTGACAGGGAATGTTGGTCAGGAACACAACGAATGAACAACAGTGGAGAAGCTAAAGGGTAAACTAAGGAGAGCTATAAGCAGTCATACCTACCCAAACCCAAGATGTGCTCCACCACAAGCCATTAGATGCCACCCTCTCAAATTCTGCTCCCTGTTAGTGTAATCTCTGTCTGTTTAAAACAACTTCTATCAACACCATGAGCTTCAATACAGGACCAAGTATACCGGGAGACCAAAGTACAGCCTCACAACATTTGGGAAAAGGTTAAAACTGTCAAGAATATCTACCAAGTTAAGAGCCCTGGACATGGAACCCCTTGTACCTGCACTGTTTAACTGCAACTCCATCTTCTGCTTGAGCACTGACCACTGGGGAGCATCTAACTCCAGATGGTTTTCCTGCTCTCTCAAGAAAGGAGAAAGGTACAGTTAGTCTCTGAAAATTTGTATTTAAGTGACTTTTTCACTGATACATGAGCTTAGAAATGCCATGAATATTCATTTAGGCCCTTCCACACACAAAAATTCAGTTTGTGGTGACATATGGCAAGGGAAATCTCAGCTCAAGGAATTGAAGCCTGGCAAAATTATAAACAATCAGAAGCGAGGCCTTCTAATGGAAACTGTTAGACAGCCTTAGCTATTGGGCCACTGTCATCTTCACAGCCAGAGAGTGATTTAATCTGTCAGTTATGTGAGCACTAGGAGTGATGAATAGGTCTTTGTATTCATTCACAGCAAGTACGTTCCCAGAATGACATATGATGTGGAGTTTTTTTTGCCTCAAAGTCCACTGGATCTTTAAAGAGTCAGGAGTCTGCTCAACATAGCTTTCCAAAGCAGTGCTACAAAGGACACCATCCACATTCAGAAAGATGGATTCCCAAAGTGACTGAATTGCATCCTTCCTCCCCAGCTTCATTTGCCCGTTGTTGCACAGGCAACTTATGAGCCCTGTGACAACAAAGGAGCCCAGTTTTGCCCTGACATCCCTGACAGTCACACTTCTTATAATCAGGGCGGCACAGGAACACAAACACAGCTTATCCATGGCTGCCAGCACAAGATATCACAGCCACAGGACTCCTCCATGGAGCAAAGCCACTCAGACCTACCAGGGCCATGCTGGCAGCCCACACTTTTGGGACAACTCCACTCCCAAGGGTGCCCTGCTGTGCTGGCAGCACAGGGAGCAGAGCAGGGATACAGGGCTGCCCATGGCAGGTGACTTCTTTGCAGAAAGACTTCTCCACACTATCAGTGAGCACAATTTTCTAACACCGTTTATTGCTGCAGCAGCACAAGAAGATGGGAAGAGGGCCAGACACTAGTGTTATATTTTCACCTGGTATAACTAAGAACCGAGTATTCTCTATCATATGTTCAAGACAAATCTTTAAATAAAGCTGGTTACAGCTCTGCCAAGGTCTGGTGGATGCAGTAGACCACCCTCCCCCTGGCAGGTTCCTGGGCTGGAAACTGGCTGGCTTTAAGCCCCTGTGGAACAGAGGCACGGGGTGGGAAAGAGTGAGGTTTGACATCTAGTCAAGGTCATTTATTAACTTGGCTTTCCTAATACTAGGGAAGCCAGTGGCAACTAGTCCTAAGCCAAACAGCTTTTTCATTGCCATAGATACAAAAGATAATGCACGCCGATTCAAGCAAAATGAGATGATTGTAAGGCTTCCAAGGATACTTCCAAATGCCAGCCAAAAACTCTGTGAAAAGTCTCAACTGGAGATAGATTACTACATGCTACCTCCTCAACAACCTCTCCTCTCAGAACAGGTACAACTTCTAAACTCATCTGTTTTGCAACTCACAGGAAAAAATGGAGTCTAAAACTGGCCATACCTTGACATGTCCCATTTCATTTTGGCACCACTTTCAAGGACAATTTCTACCATTCAGATGAATACGGCCTATTTTCTCTTATTCTTGTGATCAGTAATTTATTAGCTCATAATCCCAGTATGGACAAAGTGCTCAGACTTCAGTCAGAACTTAAACAGCATGAATGATGTTTTTCCTCTCTCTTTTCATTTCCTGAGCTGTTCTTAAACATACATATTCTTGACTTTCAAGGGTGAGTTGATCCTGAGAGGAGGCACAGCAGGGAACAGATTTGTGTGGGTGACTGTGATGGTGGTAAAGGATTTGGAAGGGATAGGGCACAGCTGACTCCACCAGGTTTGTGTTGGAGAAGTGAGATTTTATGGCCATGGCACAAAGGCACCACTCCTTGCTGTGCTGCTGGTGTCCCTGGTGTCCTACACCAGCAGAGTGAGGTGCCACAGGCAGAGAAAGTAAGGAAATCTTTCCCTCTCCCCTTTACTTATAGGTCACAGGTAGGTTTCTGGGGAACACCCTTCCTCCATCCCCAGTGAGCATCTGGTCCCAGGGCTCTGTCCACCTCTACTCTGAAGTATCATGAAAGGTTTGAACAGTGTTGCTCATCACTATCCAAAAGCACACCATTCAGCCAGGCACACCTGGATGGTTCCTTTTATCTTATCCAGCCACTGTCCAAGAAACCGTTGAGGTGCTGGAAAGCCACAGACCACAAGTAGGCTCTTAAATCCATCCCTATTCAATGAAGTGACAGGAATGAACTGATCGGAGCTAAGTGCATGCTTAAGTGCTTCACTGAAGGGCATAAACCTTGCACTGAGGCAGTTGTCCAAGGACAGCAGATAAGGAGTGGGGGAACATTCACCTACAGGCAGTATTCTGAAGGCACAGGATGGGGTTTGCTGTCCAACATGAGTGAAGCCAGCTGCATTTGGGAACTAGCAGTCCTAGAGAAGCTAGACTGGAACTATTCACAGGGTTCACATTTGCCATTTAAATAGTGCAGAGAAAGATCACACAGTACGGTACCTGTGAAGATGCAAGTCACTTCAAGTGGTTAATAGGGTTCATTGAACAACGATCAACCCAGATAATTAGAGAGAAAGTACCAGCTTCTCAGTGTATTCTCTCCTTTTGATAGACAGCTCCCAGAAGTCAGGCATGATTTTCATAAGGCGAGATAATAAGCTGTCAGTTGTACGAAGCCTAGAGTGAACCACACAGAAAAATCAACACAGTCTGAAAACAAGAAACATGTCAAAATGCAAAAACAGTTTCTTTCTTTAAAAATAAAATGGGAGTGTGATTTGAACAAGCAAGCTTTGGCTTACAAGTACTATTCTAGTCATCGACAAAATAGGAAAAAAATGATAGGAAACATTCTGAAATTAACTCTTGCTATGAATTTGCCCAGTGTCATCACTTGCTTTCCATCCTGTGATTTCATCCACAGCTCCTCTTCCTAGTAGACATCAGCTTAAAGAGAAGAAGGGGAAAGGGAGATCACAGGATGATGAGAGGGGAGGAAACTGCAGAGGAACAGTACATAATGTTTGTGTATGTGACATCCCATATACCATACACGTTTTGACTCTTAATAAATACTGCTTAGTTACTTGCATACTTACGTAAGTGACAGGGAAGACTTAGACTGTCATCAGGTTGTGTGAGCGCAGGACGTCATCTCAAACAGCACACACATGAGAAAGCTCATGTAGCCCATGGCCACTGCCAGGGCACCGGGTAGGCCATGGGGACAGGGATGGGCCAAGGTTGGGCCAGGCTGTGTGGAGCTGGATCCCAGCCCTGCTGGATCCCAGTCCTTGTTGGGGCAGGGGCTGATGGCCCCAGGGCTGAGGTGGGCTCCTGGGTGGGTGGGTGAGCCCCACTGAGTAGACAGCAACATCAGGGGCTGGTAGGGCTCTCGGGGTGCTGGGACTCATAGCCCAAAGGCCAGCATGAAGAGACACGATGGGTAGAGGCAGAGGCAAGCTGTGCTACCTCCGGCTGTTCTGGGGCAAATCCATCCATGCTGGTGCAGGGAGGATGTAAACTCCCCTGATCCACACGATGGAGTTGTCCCAAGCAGGGAGCCGTTGTTACCCATGAAGAACCCCAGCACCTCCATTCCTAGCAATGAATCAGTTTATGCACAACAGCCTCAACCTGAGTTGGGTGCTGTCCTCATCCTCCACTGCTTCACTCCCACCTCACTCTGGGGCTGCCTGTGACAGGGAAAGGAGAAGGTTGGACAGCTGAGGCTATAGCTGCCTTCTCAGCAAAGCGTTTGCCTCAGAGAGGACCAGAAATGTGGGTTTATTCAGGTGGAGTACTCTGCATGAAGCCTTTATGTTATACTTTTTTTTTTCAGCAGTGAGAGTCAAGAAATTGTCAGCAAGTGACAGTTTGGGTTGCTGGGCTTTATTGGTTTTTATTTTTCTCCCCTCAGTGATTTGTGCCAACTGTTACTTCATGCATATGGAATACACAACTTCTAGCCTTTCCTCACTGGTGTGAAGTAAGAGTTTGGCACATGTTGAAAACAACAAGCAGAAATTAACTTGCTCTCTCCCATCTTTAATGTCAATAACCACCAGTAATTATTTGGAGTATTAAACACAGTCATCTTGCCGTCACCTTAATTCTCCACATTAAAAAGGGATTATATAACAAATTAGCCTGATTTAGTCTATCTTCAAGGGACTTACCCAGTGGTTCACTCTTCTTTATTAAATTAGCAGTCGAAGAAGCTTTTGGCTTGCAGACATGTTATGAAATCCTGCCCAAGTTCAGACCACCGGTGTTAGCAATTGCTCAAGTGCTTACTGCTCTGGAACCACCTCCTCAGTATTTGCAGGGCCTGAACTCCAGCTGACCCACCACACAGGGAAAACACGCTGGTAGACACTTGTAATCTGATCGTCTGACATTTGCCTTCCAGTTTAGAACAACTGATCCCCAGTTCACCAGGGTCATGGAGTCTCTCGACTCTTTCCTCTGCTTGTTTAAATATAACCCAGCATTCAGATTTGGGTATGTGACAACGAGGTCTCTGCTAATTCTCTCTCTTGTGATGACTTAGCGGGAAGGAACAGTTGCAGAGCACAGCTAGGTGCCTTTCCACCGGCTGTGAGGGAACATCTCTGTTGCTTTCAGTGCTGAGGATGTCTGCTCGCCAGAAGGGTAAGTTGCAAACACACGGAGCATCTTATTCCTCCTCGGCTGACTGTATGCCAGAGAACTAACACTTCTTTCATACAGAATTATACAGAATGAAGTCTGCTGATAGCTAGTCATGTGAAGGCCTGACGCAATGCCCACTGAAGCCAAAGGCTGTTTTTCTTCTGCCTTTATAGGCTTTGGATCATCGCCTTACTCAAAACACTAAACCTGTGAGAATTTCAAGCTTTATAGTCAAAATCCATTATTTTCTGCATTCTTTGCTTCTAGCTGTAACAAGTCCATGTCACCAACACAATGCTAAATTTGATGGTAAGCAGACCTGTGAATCAGTACAGAAAACCGTTTACTCCTGTTTTTTCCCTTCTCTTTTTTTGTCTTCTGCCTTGAGGGTACAAAACCAACTGTTCCAAATAGACCCCCCTCATATTTATCGGAATAGCAATCCATGCCTGTCCTCACTGTGTCTGAAGTACTCACCTGAAGAAATCCTAAAGGACTGATTGCTGATGACAGCCCTGAGTGCTGCCCACCCTTGGGGATTTCACAGTGTAGACATGCACTTGTGGGAACTTCATGTAGGACTATATTTGGTGGTTAGGTGACCACAGCTTTTGGCAACCACTGTTGGAAGCGATGGACAGGCCAGAGGTGGAGGTCCCTGTGCTCAGTATACTAACGATCCACTTCCCATTCAGTACACAAAACAATCTGAAGAAGAAAATACAACCTCTTGTTTTCAGAGTTACTGGTACTTACAACTACCGATTGCAAAAAATAAATGTTCTAGTTGAATCTGGCTTATACTACTGGGAACAGTTCTTAACTGGCAAGTTTGAAAAGGATCACAGTTGCTTTAAAAACCCTCCTTAGTGTTGATTTCCATTATTTTCTTATTTAGGCTTTTTTTTTTTTTTTTTTTTTTTGCACATGCACTTACCTCATGACCTGTTAACCCACATTGCTTTGGGAAAGCTTAGTTAGGGAAAATAAAGTCACTTTTTCTTCCAGTAGTACCAGTTCCCTCATGATCTGCCTACCACAGTTGTAAAAGTATTGACTTTATCCACCTGCCCAAATGATCAGTGATATTCAACTGACATTGGTGTTTCCCTTTAAAAAGTCTTTATGAGGGGTGTTTTTTGGATGTGTTTTGTGTGTGTGTGTGTGTTTTGTTTCTTTTTTTTTTTAATTTTTATGAAAACCCGATTCTGTCAAATGCTTTGTTATATTCCTAACAACCTCTGACTTCAGAACAGCTGAACATTCTCATGGGAGGAACATATTGTACTATGCCTCAATATTCATCACTCAAAGTAATTAAAGTCACCCGAAGAGAAATTAATTGGTCCTACAATTGCATAAAATTATTGAACAATTAAGTAATAATTCATCTGAAGTTGTTCATAGTAAGAAAAGCTATGTGCAAGCATGCAATCTAAGATAGAAACTCAATGTACTTGCCTAAGGAGTGATGGTTTACAGCAGATAGGCTGGAAAAATCAAAAACAAAAAGCCAACCCAACCCTCAAGTGACAAACCACATGGAGAGCAATAGCGGTTCATGCTGCCTTTGGGGATCTTCACACCCAGAAATGGAAGAATTTGCAGTAATTGTCCTTCCAACCACGCTATTATGTGCAGTGTGGAAACAGCTTCTTTCAAAACCTTTCAAACAAAAAAATATAATCTTTACCCGCTCAGAGCGAGTATTTAAAATAAACAGGATATCTTATAGAAATGGACAGGATTAAAGAATCTACTTATATTGGAAAGGATTTTGAAAGATAATAAACTGACGATTCTATATTTTAATAGTGTATTTTTTTCCCCTAATTTTTACAGTTTCAGGATTTTACAATGCTGTTTTAAACATCTCCAATTCTGCAGACTGGTTTAATGTGACCTATATGTAAAACGTCCCACTGGTGATGTGAAGCACACGCTCCCCTGTGCCAACATGCACAGCTTTAGTTCAAAGTGCAGCAGCTTGTACTTTTCTATCTAGTACTTTTGCTTTGGTCCCTGTTGTCAGGCAGTATTATCGTACTGAAATGTAATATTGCAAATATTATATTTAAAATGTCTTCTGTTCTATAAAATGCGCTAGCCCTGCAAAGTGAAATTCTGTTGGAATCCTGATAACGGGGCAAAATAACCAGACATTGGCAGTTTTTGTAGGATATCTGTGACTTTCATTTTTAGTCCAGCAGCATGGACAGGGTGGAATTACTTTGGCAAGCCCACATACTCACCAAAAAACTTCAGTCCCCCGGTACAGTCGTATGGGATTCAAAACATCACAAAATACTTCTGACCTCTCTGAGCAGTGATCACCCCTAGTCATGGCATTCTTCAAACTGGAAAAACAAAGAGCAACTTGAGATTTTTTTATTTCTTATTTTTTCTTACAGAACAAAAGACAAACAAAACAAAAACATTTCAAAGGGAGAGACTGAGCCAAGAAGCTACGCATTAATATGTCTCCTCGGAGAGATTTCCCACTCCTCCTCTCCCCCCCAAAAAAAACCCCAACCACAATCAAACTATGCATATTTATCCACTTGAATTTCTTTTCTTCTATGTTTTGCCTTAAAAAGCTACAGAGGAAGGGAAAGAGAGGAAAGAAAAAAGGAATAGGAGACAAAAAAGGAAGAGGAAAATCTCATCCTAAAGCTTTGAGGGACATACATGTATTATTCAGTGAGGAATGTATTCAAAGAAGCTTTGTGGAGTTCCTCACATTAATCCTATTGGCAAATAGTGGGATTTGTGTTGCAGAGCTCCTAAGCTTTCTACAGGATTGCTACAAAACACAAGCAATGGCAGTACTAAGAATAGAACAACTCTAGAAGTGCAGAGGAATGAAACTTAAGAGACTGATTATCAGTTTTAAGAGTAACATATTCAGGAAGAAGACAAAGTCAGTGAAAAAGAAGGCAGTGAAAAACGGAAGTACAAAACACCTCCAAAGCCATCAAATGCTAAAAGATTCATTCAAAAGTGTCTCTTCCACAGTAAAATATTCCTGTTGCCTAACTTCATTGACAGCACCATTTCCACAGGGACTGGAATCTGATCTAACATCTAATTTACAGAAGCTTATAAAATTTCTTTACTGTAACAGCTCACAAACAATAACGTATTATGGATTTTACATGGGTATTTTATTTTCCCGCAGAAGTCAATAAAGTCGTGCCAGCAGAAATCTTGGCTTTACATTCACATAAAATATTTTATCTCAAAGAGCAATAGAAACCCTAATCAGACTGCATCAGTCTATATTGTTACAAACTGCAATTAATCTGCTCAGACTGAAAAACCATACCAGTTTTTGACTGAAAGGCATGTCATTAAGTTTCTGAGTTGTTTACATGTAATGCAACATGACAGGAATTTGTGCAGAGATGAGAGAAAATGAGCTATTTGAAATTAACTGTTTGGAATCCTGTCTATAGCTGTTTGCAGTCTGCAGTGAATTGGCAGGGCTGATTACAGGGATTTGTGTGGGTTTTGTGAGAGGGTTTCTCATACTGAGTCGTTCTTTAAGAAATGCTTGGTAAAAACTCACTGCGCCTTTGGGTGTTCGGGTTAGGAAGAGAGGAAGTATGCACTAACACCCTTGGCTTATAGCAAGAGTAAGTAGTAAATCTAAAATAAGGAAATATATGGAATATATAACCAGGAGATCACACAAATAACATGATTTGTACCTTATATGTGAAGCATGGCACTTACCTCCCCCAGTTCCCTTACAACAGGACACTGAGGCAGCTGATGGAGCCTGCAGAATGGTTTGGCAATGAGCAGCAGTTAGGCACAACAGAACCACACCTGTGACCACTGGAGACACTGTGCAGAAAGGTAGGAAGGAGAAGATTAGACAAATACAGATGAAGATCTGAAAACTTGCTTGTACAGTGGCTTGTTGGTGTTAGTTTGGATGTAGAGAGTCAAGGTAAGCACAGGACTCACGCTCTGTGCTCAGGCCTGGGCTGAATTCATGCAGATATATCCCACTTGGGCAAGCTCCCGCAGTGGTGCAGTGTTTTACCTCCTTACCCTAGTGGGTTAGTTCAGTAGGGAGGCAGGCAAGAAGTCTTCGCTCTCCAAAATACAGGAACGATTAAATTTCCATGTGATTATGCTTGAAAACATGAACCATGACAGTTCAGAAAGCAAGAAGCAATTTGAAAGATCCAAGTATTTATTTATTTGTTTGTTTTAAACCTCATACTTAGCATCTTGGCAACCTTCTGATCTGGGGCAGAAGTTTGTGAACAAGGTTTTTGAATGTCAGAAATAAGGTTTGGGCCAAAAACTGAGTGATCTTGCATGCCAATTTAGGATACCTCAAATAAATAGCATCAGGGATCAGAGGACAGGTACACAGCATTTTCTGTCACTTTATAACTGTTTCAAACTTATTGCTTGAAATATTGAGGACCCCTAGATAACCACACACTTTGGAAGTCTTGATTTAAAACCTTTTCTGTGTCAGAAAAGAATCTCCTTCTTCCAGAGGAGAACCTCCCCATCATCTGGGAAAGTACGTTTGATGAGGAGGAAAATTAATTAGACTAAATAGCAACTTGAAAAATTGAATTACTTCTCAAAGAATTAATATGCTTATGGAAAACCAGCTGAAAGTTAGGGCTTCAAATCAATTTTTTTTGAAGAGGAAGAAATTAAATTGCTGGTGTTAAAAAGACGAATCTTGAGATAGATGTTGTCATTTCTTCCACTGGGGAAGAGCTGGTGCTGGTCCCTGATGAGAGCAGTTACCCTTGGTGGGTCCCAGTCCAGTGGAAAATTTTGTGACCGCTGCTGGGCACACAAGGATGCTGTAGTTGGGCAGACAAGGATGCTGCTGCCTCCCCTAGCACCCTGACTACCTTTCACACAGGTGCTGTGCTGACCCCCAGCTGCTGGTGGCCTGTGCCTGGTCTCTTCCCGTCTCACCATATATCCAAAATGGCTGAAATCCAATAGCTTCTGAAAATATATCCTCTAAAATAGCGCTTCCTTAAAAAAAAAATCAACAGAAAACAAACTTGGACCAAACATAATGCTATGAAAAGCCTTCTCTCTAAATAGTTCCTCTGACGAATACAGTAATGGAAAGAAACAGAGAACATTGAAGCAAATCTATCCCATGTTAATTATGTTGCTTTTTCCCTTAGGAGACAGTGTTGGGTATATGGCAGAACACAAACTGCTGAAAAATAAAATGTGCTGCAGAACTGGAATCTCATTAGTCTCTGCTTAATGTTTAGCCTTTCACTCGCAAGCTGGGAGAGATGGCAGTTCGTGTAGGAAACACCGTGTCTCTGCCAGGCTGTGCACAACAGGGGTAATCAAACAGTCTGCAAGCACTGCACACACATGCACTTGTTCATGCCAAGACCAAAAAAAAAGTGTTTTGGGGGCACAAACATACAAGCAGCTGCTGCAGCGATCTGACGTGCTGTTGTTACTACCTCCAAGCCTCTTTCTAAGTTATCAAGTCATACAGTGATTCACAGAATCACAGAAAGGACAAATAAGACCTCATGAAATGCTGTATTTAGAGTACAACTGAGATATGGACTTTTGTCCAAATCGAAGTACGTTTGCCCCCACTGCTAGTGGCACTTGCTCAAATAGCTAATGAGACATCTACTTCTTATTCTTTAGTTATAGGAAGCTGTTATACGTATGTTTTATGGCTAACAAAACACCTCTACAACTAAGCTTAACACCTGAAGATGTTGCTCTCAATTTTGAAACGCCGTGTAACACACCAGAGTCCCAGTCACAACACAGTATGAACAGTGGGCATCAGTGACTATGTTCCCATATAAAGCTGATGAAATACCAGAGCTGACCCTTATTTTGCACTTCAGCAGAGAATATTGATGTAAACAGCAATCCAGCAGCTCATCCGCTACAGCCTAGAGCCTACCATTGTAATGAAGAACCAACAGACAACTGTTGTGCCCAGCTCTTCCCTCAAGAGCAGGCTGTAGCCCAGAGCAGTCACTTTGATCCACCCGGCTGCCATCTGCTTGAAGTTTTCCCTTGCATGCCAAGGTTCAGCTAGGGAACTGGAGATTTGAGAGTCTGGGTCAGAGCTTGTCTGGAAAAGCAGTTTTCAAGGAAACTAATCTCTGACTCTGGTCCAAAGCATCATGAAAGTGTCAAAGGGATCAGGTACCAGTGCTGGGCAGGATAAATATACCAGCATTTATTAGTGATATGAGTCAGCAAATCATTTCTTGCCTTGAAGAGTCAACAAGTTTTCAGCTTTCAGACTCCATGTAAAATTGAACGTACAGTCATGAAATGCACTGAATTCTTCAGTGGCTTCAGTCATGAGTCAGAGACTCGCATTGCCCCATCCTCAAGCACATCCTCAAGATAGCCACGGTCCTTTCATCACCAGCTGTAGGATCTGGCTCAGAATCACAGAATAACCCATGCTGGAAGGGACCTCTGCAGGTTATCTGGGGACAACCACTTTCCTGCTTAGGTCACATTTGTTCAGGGCCTCATCCAGTCAAGATTTGGGGCTCTCCAAGGCTAAAGAACCTACAAACTCTGGGCAACTGTTCCACTGCTGCACTACCCTCAGAATGAGAAAAAAAAATCCTAATAACTAAGAGTTTTTATCATTGCGACCTGTGCTTGCTGCCTCTTGTCCTGTGCTCCTCTCAGAAGAATCTGGCTCCACATTTATACATGGGCTTGTTCCTTTTGCTGCCCATTTCCCCTCCAAATACCCTCACATTCTCCATTCTCAGACAAACTAATCCATCCCCCAAAGAACTAAGTCAGGATGACCAAGTTCATCCTTGCTACCATCCTCCTTCATGATTTTCAGTCTTCCCTCATTGTAGCCACTCTCACTTCACCACCTTGATCACAGAAGCGTTTAAGTTCACCCCTGAAAGAGCCTTCACTTTTTTTTTTTTTTAATCAAGACAAGCAATCAGCAGTGGACAGGACAGTGCCCTACAACTGGACAAGCTTTCCTGGAGTCAACACACGTGACGAGGCATTTGGGTAACAGGATCCAAAGTTCCTCAAGCCAGAAAGTTCAAGCCAAACTCGATTAAGCCTTCAGCAGAAGAGGGCATATTTTCCTCTTCATATTCTTTCCTCCAGACATTTCAAATTCCCTTTTTTGTCTCTTGCTCTTTCTGTAATCTGTTCCTCAGCCTGTGTTTCCTAGGCAGCTCAAGCTGGTGGGAGTCATTTCTGCGATGCCAGTGTTCCTTTCATGAGTCTGCCTTAGCTCAAGGCAAAGAGCGTGAGCCTATTTGAGACCGAAATGCTATTCTGCACCACGTTGGATCAACAAGGTACAAATATTCTCGTGTTTTTCTTGTCTTTCAGCATAGCACAAGAGTCCTACCCATTTCATCCCATTACAAAAAGCATACATGCAGGGAAGCAAAAGCATGCCCAGCACTATCAAAATGACAGAGCATTCTCACGTGCTGCTTATTGACACTCCAGTCACGATCAGTTTTTGGTGTGTGCGATGAGGAATTCATATATATCAGGAAAATCTTTATATGACAGAGTTAGTAGGTTGAAGTTTGTATGTCCTGAGGTAAAAAAAAAATAAAATACTGCAGTAATCTACTCTGAGACTAAAGCATCACACAGGACATGTTCAGGCCTAGTGCAGACCCCAGAACGGTGTGAGATAAAAAGTACCTAAAGTGTTGCTGCAGATCACTATGTCACAGGCATGTTCCGTGTTTCTGAGCCACTAAGACTATGTCCACTTTCCTATCAAATTTTAAACAGTGACTTCAGATTTTTTTAACATATTTTCAGTGTCTGAACCTAGAATTTTCCACACTTGGGTTTTGAGGACTGTCCTAACCCATATTTTGATCCCAGAATGGAAAAGTTTATTCACTTTCTTTCCTTTCATTACTTAAATAGTTGAAATATATTTTTCTTTCTTTGTCATTCCTTGCAGTTGATGGCAGTAATCAATCAGCTTATTATTATTGGAAATAATTTTGGCTATAAGCCAAACCCTGCATTACAGCCTTGAGGATGTTTCCGTGCAGCATAAGATCTGGAAAGCATTCAGGGTGGCTTAGCAGGATTTCCACATGGCTCCAGAGAGCAGATATTATGGAAACTCTGCAACCTTCTGAACATAGCATGCTCTCCTTCTTTCTTGGCATTTCAAACCTGTGAGGCTTCATGATCAAAGCCTTAGCACACCCCAAATAATAAAGGAATCACCAGACACTCTACCTTGATGTCAGGCTCCTGTTTCCCACGTAATTTTTGGCTGATGACTGGGGTGGAGACACAGGGGTAAAGCAACACTTGAGGAGCATTGCAGAAATCTAGACTGAAGTTTTTCATACTTCACTGAAGTCCAAGGCCATTTATGTGCTTGCTGAACACGCTAACTTCAGAGACATTAGACTAGGAAGTACATGGAAACCAGCAGGACCCAACGCATCAGCTCACAATAACCAACCACTGAGAAGCTCACAAAGGATTGGGGCTCACAGACTGTCTAGCACCTGCTAGAGTGTTCCCAGGGTTGCAGTGAAGATGAAGATCTCCAGCACCTGATGGCCAGATCTTCTCAGCCTCAGCTCAGGCTTAGTTCAGTCTGAGCCTGAGCAGGAAATGACAGAACCCATTGGCAAGGCCCAAGATCTGTGCAAGGTAAGATCTGGGTAATTCCTTCTGCCAGACATTGTCACCACAAGACCAAGGAGAATAGCTGGAAACTGTACAAAGTACCAGGACCTCGTCATGCCTCGTGGTAAGCCTGCTCTGGGAGGACCCTGTGCGGTAGGCTCACCCACCGATTTCTTCAAAGAATATCCACCAGTCAGCATGAAGTTACTGGTAAGGATCCTATCATTGAGAAACACAAACAGATGGCCACTCAGCCTCGTGGCACCCTGGGTGAACTTCACAGAGCAATGTGAACAAGCTATTGAGTCCGTGCTCTATCACGGGCACAATGCCCAGAAAGATTTGTGATTTTCTGCTCCAGCTCCGCTTTACAGCCAGGTAGTTTTCTTCCTCCCGTTACTCCTACTGGTTGTAGATTGCCATTGCTTTGACAATTAGAAAGTTTTTCTAATTGCCAATATAAACGTATTCTGTTTGGTTTAATGCCCTTTGCTTAAAATGGTCTTTTTCCCCTCCAGATATTAGCCCTCTAATGTTCTCCTAAAGAGGGTCTGACCTTGAGCTGGGCAGCTAGCCTCATTCTTCTCACTCTGCTGGAGACAGACTAGGAATACCCCCATTTTCCCATGTTTTCCTTGATCCCTGATATTGATTCTGGCTCTGACTGCTGTCCTCCCCAGAGGAGGCATCTCTCCAGGAAAAAGGGATTCAAAGGAAAAGGTCACAGTGTTAGCAAAGGCCATGGTCTTCCTGTCCACCGACCCCATTAGGCTGAGATGCTCATAACAGTGCTGTGATGTTGCCCCTGTGACACTTCTCCCCCTCACTGGGGAGCACTGTTTCTCCTTGGATTCTTTCTTCTTGCCTAAAAGGGAGATGCATCACTAATTGTTGTGACATATTCAGGGAAAATTATTATTATTCCTTTTGTATGAAACAGATCAATATACCACAGACTTGTAGCAACCAGATTAGAAAGTAATAGAACAAACTTAGGAAGATGAAGAGGAAAAACCCCCAGATTATAAATGAAACAAGCCCTGCCTCCAACCTTATATTTAAGCCAACAAATATATTAAAACATGTTTTTAACTGCTAAGTATTGGCAAGCATAGCCAATCCTAGAGCAATCACACAGCAATAAAATAGCAGCCATAAAAAACAGATTGGATACTATGAGATAAACTGCAGCACATCAATTTACACAATTAATAACTGCCAGAATAATTGCAATTCATTTAGGAGTTGGAATCAAATCGTAAATCAGTCCCAGCAACGTGTTAAATAACAAATACCAATTTTAATACAGAATTGCTGAGTATGGCATTAGTAATTGTAAGGAGTGTTGTAAATACAGATGCTTATCCCCTAGTGTTGCTCGCAGTATTATTTACACATTTTGCACTAACATTTTGTCCCCGCTGGTGTCACACACAACAGTATTTATTCCCAAAGTGCTGTATTATTACTTTTGGATTTCCATGTACCTACTTTGCCTATTGTTCAATGGACTACAGCCATATCTTTTGCCCAGCAGTCATGCTTAGCAGCCCTTCTTTGATTCATATCAGAAAAACAAGGATTTTTCAGGCTGCAGCAGTGAGTTTCTGTGATGGTAGAACTGTTCCCAAATACCACTGATTATTATAACCACAAAGCAAAACACATGATTCCTGTTTGTAAACTATTATTACAGGGCCTTAATATGTGTAGCTGTAAAGCTCGACCTTGATTAAAGGTTTAATTTGCAATGCAATACTTTGTGCTCACAGCTTGTTCCAGAAGAGAGGGAACAAGTTGCATCCAAGACAGACATGCAGTTGCTGACTGCCTGTGATGGCTCGTGTCCTGGTTTCAGTTAGAACAGAATTAATTTTCTTCCTAGTAGCTGGTGGAATGCTGTGTTTTGGCTTAGGATGAGAAGAGTGCTGATAACACCCCAATGCTTTAATTGTTGCAGAGCAGTGCTTATACCAAGCCAAGGACATCTCAGCCTTTTGCTCTGTCCTGCCAACGGGCAGGCTGGGGGTGCAGTAAGAGCTGGGAGGGGACAGACCCAGGACAGGTGACCCAAACTAGCCAAAGGGGTATTCCATACCATCTGACGTCATGCTAAACAATATATAGGGGTGGCTAGCCGGGGGGAGGGGGCCGGACTGCTCGGGGTTAGGCTGGGCATCGGTCAGCGAGTGGTGAGCAATTGCATTGTGCATCACTTGTTTGTACATACTATTACTTTCGTATTATCACCATTGTATCATTATTATTATTATTGTTATTATTATTTTGTTATTATTATTTTCTTGTCTTATTAAACTGTCTTTATCTCAACTCACGGGCTTCACTCTCCATTTCTCTCCCCCGTCCCAGAGAGGGAGGGGGGAGGGTGAGCGAACGGCTGCGTGGTGTTTAGCTGCCGGCCGGGTTAAACCACGACACTCGTTTCTCGTGAGCAGGCGTGGTAAGGGTGAGGCAAAGGGGCATACCTGTGTCCCTCTATTCTTCCTCTATTCTTCTGTTCTTGCTTTTCGCAAGTCCGGCATAATGGCACCCTATCTTCTTCATATCTCGGTACTCAATGTAGAAGCCTTCCTGCTTCTCTGTCCCCTTGGATATGACTCTGGAGAATAATCCAGAAATCAAATTTGTCATCACGTTCACTTTGAGAGGAAAAGCACCTCCTTCCTACCTCTTCTCCTACGTAACCCTCATGCAGAACAAGGCTGAGGTTTAGTGGAATTGTTGTGCCTCTGCATTTGAGATAATTGTGCTTCAGAAAGAGAAAGTCCCATAACACATGCAATATTCATGCACCGTGGGAGATTTTCTTCAGCTTCACTGAGCTTTGGATCAAGCTTCATATCACCTTAAACTTCCCACAGCCTCAGCCTGCATCATTACTGGCCTCTCTACAAGCCTGCAAGGGACCCAGCAGCCCCCCCCAAGCAGGATTTCAATTAGCTCCATCTCCATCTTAATCCACCAGTTGATCTAATGATGTTTTGAGTGAGGCCTGTTCCACATTTGCTCATCAATACTACATCTCAGCCTTTCTATATTTATCTTCCCTGGGATTACAGGGAGGACAGAAGGAGACTGTAAATAGTTTGCACCATTCTTCTTGCCTTATCAAGGGCTTCTGGTATGGAAAAGAGTGCTGGTTGTCTTGAAACCAAATTGCAAAACAAGCACGCTTACTGACAGCTACATCATGTTTCAATACAGGATAATATATAACATAATAAATATAATATGGCTGAAATATGTTTCACTTACATGTGTTTATCTGTTTCATAATTGTAAGCTTCTTGTCCATGGCAAAGCAGGAAACATATTTCTATAACAATTTCCTGATGAAAGTAGGTAGGTACATCTTCAGAGCACACCTACAAAGAGAAAAGCTTTATGTATGCCACACAACAGATCTGTATTTCAGGTGAAATCCATAGGGTGCAGCTGAGGGCTTCAAACACTTACTCCACCTCCCTTTCCTTTGGTATCATTCTAGATTATGCTATCTTGTTATTTTGCCTTTATATGATACAATTTTTAAGCGCTTATTTGGACAGCTATCAAGTATCCTTAAAGACTCCCACAGATGGAGAAGCAGATGCACTGTAACCATCTGGGGCCAGAACTATGATTAACTTTCAAGTTAATATGCCTGTAAGAATGGACTGCATATTAGAAATGTTTCTTCCATTTCAACCAGGAAAAACAAAACAAGGTTTAAAAGTAGCCTCTAGACTTGGGTGCCTACCATGAGATTTTTTTTTTTTCCAGTCTTTTTCATACAAAATCAGCAACACGCCTGAAATGCTGGAAGCTGGTGGTCTCCTGTCCTTAAGCCAAGAGAGATCCTCCCTCTTCTGCGCTGGTGACTTGAGTTGCATTTACGACTCCTACAGAAATGCCTCAAAGGAACTGTGTCCAGAATCACACTGGCCTTTCATAATGCTATAAAATACCTTCCCAGCAGGAGAGGAATGGCTATTTTTGGTACCACTAACCTGCAGTTTTCACTTTCATTAATTTTATCTGCCGTTTCTGTTTATGAAAGCACGAAACCAAGACAGGCAGCTCAGCCAGTTGGAAAGATTGGGATGGGTGATTGTTCCTCATCTGTCCATGAACTTCTTCAGATGTTTTCACCACACTATATTCTATGATATGAACGCCTGTAGGATTATTATCTAAATCTGCAAGCATTACTGATCCCATAAGCCAACAACTCCCTGACCCCAAGAAAATATGATTTCTTCTTTGCTGGGCAGAGAGCCTCTCTTACAGTAGCACCCTACATCCCCTTTTACCCTAGAACACACTACCAGCTTACACCTCACACACATCCCTCTGGGCCTACAAGCATGCTAGTTACTTCCATCATCAGCAACCATATCCATTTTAGCTTCCATTTAAGCACTGAAGGAATCTCCTTATCTCCTTACCCTGCCTGATTTTTGTGTTTGGTTATATTATGGCTTTCTGGTTCATGTCAGATGAACATAAGCTTCACAGATGGGTGGTGAAGAGTCTATAAATGAAATTATAGGTTGGGCAAAGTCAAAGGTAGACTGGCCCAAAGAAGAACAACCTTCATAATTGACTTCATATACGGCTGGTCATGCTTAGCTTGGGAATGGCCTCCGTGCTTCAAGAAATGTGAGAGACTGTATCTGATGTATCCCCTTCGAATTGCTCTGAACTCTGTCCTATCTCCCTCAAGCCCAGTTTCGGTCAGATTACCCGCATGCCAGCTTGGACTGAGTGCAATAGTGGGTCAGGAGAGGGTGTGAAGAAACAATGCAACAACACAAATGGCCCGGTCATGGGGCTAACGGGGAAACCAAGGACTGTACAGGCCAGGCCAGATGAGATGGTGTGGGTGTACGTATGGCCCTGGCAGCTAAGGCTGCCCCACCTTGGTGCAAACAGCAGGGCTGAAGGTGGGACATTGCTGCCTCATGTTGCGTCAAAGGACAAAGAGATGTGAGAGCATGTTCCACCTTTGCCTCAAAAGCCCACGCAAACCTTTGGAGGGAATTTGGCTCAGCACTTTCAGAGCCCACGTCCTATGTAAATGGTAGCAGGTGTCTACAAAGCTGAAAATAAGCTGGTATTTTTCATACTCTTATATGCCCAAAGCTCCAACAAGAAGCACATCTGCTGTGGGGATGAAAGGACCCCTTTTAGCCACACGGGTGCCATGCACACAGTGAGGGTCACAGGACAGGGGGTGGCTGTGTCAGCTACAACAAGCCTCAGCCAGCCGCATACTTATGCCTCTTACAGGCATCAGGAGCACAACATCCTAAGGCAAGCTTCCCAAAACTTTGAAGATACTTAGACTAAGGGAGAGGGAGTGAGAGATTGTTTGGGCTGTCTCTGATACGAATTTGGATGAAGAACTTCAGGTAACACCAAGCACACCAGCTTGTACAAGCATAACTTCTTTTATAAAGATTCCTGCACAAATATCAGTGGATGTAAAGCATTGTTATTACTTACAGATAGCATTTTCAGACAAAAATGTCACAATGCTTTGTTATCTTTAACTAATTAATCTGAATTATTCCTGTGAAGTAGAAAGGCAACATGGATATGGCTCACTTCACCCCAGCCCTGAAGTGTAGTCATCACCAGTGTGCAGAACGTCAGCTGCATCATAGCACGCAGAGATCTCGCTCCCGTTTACAAGGAAGTGAAGACTATCGTCTCTAGTTAAATTTCACGAGGAGTGTGGGAGGTCAGGAAGCTGTGTGCATAAACTCAGACTGGACCTGGCAAGGCTAAGATCTGCTTACAAGACAGCTGTCACTCTGTCACAACAACATTTCTCAGGACTGCTGGCGGTCAGGGCAGCAAGGCAGGTCAGAGTCCACGCATTGCAAGAGCTTTGGTTTCTCAGTCAACAGCTGGATCAGCCTGGAAATAGATCTCAAGGAAAAATCCTCAGCACCCTGCCAGGCTGCTGACAGCCCACATGGGACGGAGCAGTGCCTGTTTGCATCATGCTCCCTCCCCGCCAGCACAGCCACACACACTCTCAGGGTAGGAGCTCTCTCTGCTAAGTCCTTCCCTATTTAGGGCAGGATTTAAGCTTGCACTCACCTGGAACCTAGGGCACGCTTGTTCCAATGCTTCCCCATCTCTGGTCAACAATTTCTGCAACAGCAACAGACACAAAGGGATTAATGAAATCAGCAGTGCCTCACATGATTACGAACAATTCCGTATCAACAGCCAGCAGGTGAGGAAATGCAGCAGTAAAATTCTTCTGCCCATGCAAAGCCAGCATACAACAACTCCTGCCTGAAGAAGAGAACATATGAACTGAATCCATTCATTTAAATGAAAGGAAGGCAGAAGGGAAAGTGTTAATTATTCTTTGTGGGATGAATGAAATGCACTGTACAATTAGCACCTTCTGTGCTCCCGCCTAATGACAGGCTTAACTTAAGAGAATTCTCCATACTGTCCTACGTATCACCTTTCCTTTGACATTATCTTCCTTTTCTTGGCTCTCCACATAGAATTTTAATGAGATCTTAATTGTTTTTCCATCAGCTGCAAGGATTTCAAACCCAAGTCATATGCTGGTTGTCATTTTGCAGAAGGTGGTACGGGGAGCTGTAGAGATGTTCTCTTGCTAAAAAGGAGCAGGAGGCAGCCCCCACACCTCCTACTGCATCCCGGGGAAGGGCTGTCTCTGTATTTCCAGCGCGGGCCTAGAGACTACAGCTCGGTGTTTTTTCACTTGTACAAGGAGGACTGGAAAAATCTGTCACGCACGTGACCGTCACCACCTCCCTGCGACTCCGCTGGCTGCAAGGAGGCTCGAGGTTGGTTTCTGTGCCTGCCTTGCTAGGCTGGCTGAGCAGCACACAGCCAGGGAGCTCATTGTGCTGAATGAGCTGTACATCAGCCTCCTTTCTGTCTTTCACCATCTACGAGTCACTTGCACACTCTCTTCCTTCATCATTCGAGTCATTTTTGGCAAGGCAACATATTTCAAGCATAGATATACTTACTTCTCTTGAACCTTTTCAAGGGCACTTCTGGAGATGTTGCAGGCTCCCTGAAGCATCAAAGGAAATAGGATGTTGCAAGCATGACTGGAAGGAGCTCACCATCTGTGCTGACCCCAGGGGGTGACAGGGCACCCATGGTGCAGCACTAGTATGCAGAGAGATGCTACACATCAGGATTACCCTTTATGGTCATTGGACCACGTTAATTTATTGCAGAGTGGTTAGCCCAGAGCTTGCTACCAAGGTATTTCAGCAGATAGTGCTGCCTGTGGGAGCCTGGCACTAGGTGCGAATGCAGAGGCAGAAGACAGCTGGACGAGGAGCAGCAGCGCTGTCCCCTGAGCACCGAGGCTTGCCTGAGGCTGGCGGGGCACATCCAGACACAGAAAGGGACAACAGTCTGGGGGTTATGTCAGCCAACAGCAGCATTTTAGAGATTTGGAAGCTGTATTGGCACGTATTGCTGGCTCACAGGGCATGGAATCAGTGGAAAATACGACTCGCTGAGGTTTTAGAGAAAACTGGTTTCAGGGCTAGGAAAAAAACCTCCACTTCCCACTCTGAGTCCTGCGGTTCTCAACTGGACAGTGCTGCACAGACTAGCCAGTCGTGTTTAACTAACGCTTAGATATTTTTGTCATTTGTCCATGCACTTAATGTTTATTAAAATATTTCTAACAGCCTTTTTCCTGCTCCATTTCAGTGCATGGAGCATACAGTGACAGCTTCCACGTAGCTGTCTCCCAGAATCACATCTTCTGTCCTCCCAAAATATCTCTCTCCCTGATGGGAAGGAGTATGGAGGTAATAGCATCTTTTATGACATAGCTGCTGCGTGACAACTATGTGGTTTCCATCTACACCTTACTCTTGTTACAGACATTCACTTTTTGACAGCTAGATTTTTCCCTGTTGGGCGTCGGTGCCAATCCAAATCTCAACGAAGTATAAGAAAACAAATTAATTAGTAGTCACTGGAGAGTCTGAGCATTGCCCGGAGATATACATTGAGAACTAAATAAGAGAAGCCTCTAATGCTTATTAAGGATTTGAGCTTGCCTGGTTTTTATTTGCAAAGACATGCCTCCTGCGACCAGGGACTGTGGGCGGCTCTGCAACTGGAAACCCGGTCAGGGCTCAGTAATGAGATGGGCCAGGCTCTCCACATTAATATCTGAGGGTACAAGCAGTGAAATCCCTGTAGGGACAGACCGCGACCCGTTCTGCCATCCTTAGAGCATCACAGCCATTCATACAAGAATGTTGGTTTTGTCCACAAATAGGAAGGCATCAAATAAACTGATGGGGCCTGGGAAACTTGCCTTGCTCCTTCTTTCTTGGGCTATATTTCATTAGCCATGACAAATATTTAAATTAAAGCAAACATTGCAGATATGAGTGGATTTTTAATTCAGTGACAAGACACACTGCCTTCAGGACCTCTTTCATGTCCATTATAAATAGAAAACCATAGCACTGCAAAACTAAAATCAGTGCTGACAGTCCAGCTCTTGCCTTCTTTCAGGAACTTGCCAAAATGTGCAAAAATTTAAACATTCAGAGAGATAACACACTGCTCACTCAGTGCACCTCATCTGTAATTTACAGATTGTTATTGCTAGCAACATTTGAATACTCCTTACTTGCTTAAAAATGTGTCCCATTGCCTAGAGCTTTCAGCAGATCATCCAATTTCCTAACGAGCCAGTAATGTGCTATTGAGTGCTGCCACTGGAGCAGAACAAACTAGGTTCCCGTTGTATCCTAAGTGTGGGGCTGCTCAGTCTGGAGCTGAAACGTAAAGGTCCATGCAGGGTTGATGCATTTGTCATTTTTCCTTACGTATCCAGGTGAACTCCTCTTTCAAAGCGTAACCATACTTCTGAGCGTGGGAGATGGACAAAAGGGTCCCCACTGCCAGATACTTTCCTCCCTCCTTCTGCTAGGAAAAATGTGATACTTCACATACAAAGCAAAAGCCCAAATATTTCAATTTGGAAATTCCTCTGAAAGTCTTATGACAATTGTGGTTTGGGTCCCTCATGCTCCCCATTCCCCTTTGCTCACCTGTCTCCCTCTCCGAGCTGCGTTTTCTGGTCCTGTGTACCTGACAGCCAGAGGAAAGGACGTTCAATTTTTTCTACACCAAAAATCTTTCAACAGCCTTCTGAAAGCAAAAGCCTTTCACAAACAACCCCAAATTAAACTGAAAAATAGTCTCACTTGAAAAGTAAGCAAACAAACAAAAATCCATAAAAGTCCCTGAACAAGCCCTATCTTGTGAAAGAATGACCCTGCATGATTAAGCAGCGATATCCCTAGGGACTGGACAGCTTCCCAAGGGATTAAAAGCCCTTTCAACATAATTCCCTCGGTGACCGAAACCAAAATGTGAACCTAGCTCTTTGGAAGTGAAACTCTAGCCTGTTCACCCCGGTGACCCCGCAGCGAGGCACCGCGTGAAGCGCTTGGATTTCCAGCCGACAACTTTCTCCGTCCCTTGGCAGAGAGCTGCGGCGCTGGGGGTGGCTGCGCAGAGGAACCTGCAGGGTCCCAGCCCGGCTGCCTGCTTTCCTCCTCCCGGGAGGTCATTTGTGAAGCTCATTACCAAATGGAGCATGTAGCTGCAGACGTGGTTCGTGGGGGTATTCTTCTACATGCACACAAAACGTGCAGGGCTCGTGTGCGTGTGCCTGCACGGGCTGTAGGAAAGGCTGCGTGGGTCAGCTTGGGAAAGCGCCTCAGATCCTCAACTTCAAAGGCAGGGAGAAAATCTCCAGCAGATCCGGGACTTTGAAAAGCTGCTAGACCCACCCAAAACAAGGCAAAGAATGAACATCTTGAGACCCTGAGCATCGTACATTTTTTCCATTATTTCTGAAAATGATAACATGCCTTTGCCTGCGCTGCAGAAACCTCTGAGACAGATCTGTCCTCAGGTCAGAGGAAGTGGTGACATAGCAGCGAAAAATGTCAGCTTTCCATTCAGTTCACATCTGTGCAGTTCCCACTGCTAAGGCCAAGATTTTTATTTTTTTTTTGAGCCTTTAATTTTAATCATGCATGCAGAAAATGAAAACTATGTAGCACACTCCCAGCAAGCCAGAGCGACAGACGCCGTGTCTCCTCGCTCCTACCACTGGTCTTTGGGGCCACACCACTCCTGCCTGTTCAAGAGCACGGCTTTACTGGCAGGGTACACAACTTGACAAGTAACAAGTACGACATGGCGAAGGAATTTTCTTCTGTCTCTCTTTTCTTCTTTTTAGTTGAACTGAATGTATATAAACAAATTATATTTCTGACCTTGCCAGCAGATGAGCTTTTCCATCTGGGAATAATATTCCATTTGAACCAAGGGGTTGGAAACCCTTTGCAAGAGACATGCAAACCTAGCATGGACACAGCATTCTCATATGTATTATAAAGAGAGAGAGAGAGAAAAGAAGAGAAAGACCAAGGAACCTACAAGGGCTTTTCCATCTCTAGCTGCTTTAGGCTTTCTTGGAGAGAAACCACTTGCCTTCTCCCTGAAGTGATGAAAGCCTGGCTTCTCCACCCTGGCATAGCTTGGTGCTGGGAGAAATTGGAGGGGTAAAGCAACTCAGAACAAGCACTGGTTCCTCCTCCCCCTTACTTTGAGGAAGATGCTTCCACTGTGAGGGGATGTGGGAAGATGTGTCCCCTCCCTGCCTCAGGAAGTAGATGCTTCCACCACCATTTCAACATACCAACGAAACTGCCCACCCAGGCAGAACACACCGTACCTTTCAGATGCTCCCCTGAACTAGTCATCTTCCTTGGATTTACTTTTTGGCTTTGGAATGACACCATCAACTACAGGCAAAGCCACTTTTTTTTTTTTTCTATTCTTGCTGGAGGAGTCCTTACTTCAGTGCACCCCCATCACAAACCCTTCATAAACCCTGTGGTGTAAACCCCTGAAAATTGTTCTCTGTTGTTTCGTAACGATGACATAAAACCAGGGCACAGCACAATTGGTAAGAAACCACACGTGTTAAGCCTCCCAGGGTAACCACCTGTATGACTTGTGGCAAGTTCCCACAGATAACACTCACAAACCCATGCAGAGCCCCTCTGCATCTGTAGGGGTGCAGTAGCCCCACAGTCAGGCATGGGCCACCTTGGGCTGTCCACAGAGAGCAGAAAAAAGGAGGTTACAAGCCAAGATGTCTGTCTGTCTGGCTGTCTTTCATTCTCTTCCTTTCTTTTCTCTCCAAAATCCACAGACTAAATAATCTCATCTTGTTGGAATTACCTTGATAATGAATAATCTATGCTGCTCTTGCTTCGTAGGATATTGTTCCCTTGCACAGCACACGCATCTATTAAACAATTTTTTGTTGAGATAAACTTCCAGCAAAGTTCAGCAAAATCAAAAAAAAATCATGTCAGGGCCAATCAGTGCCCTGGGGACAGGGGGAAGGGGTGTGCATTTTTTCCCCAGCTAAGTACTTTGTATAAATTCAGCAAGAGAAATTCACTTTACTTTCAGTCAATATACAAGTTCTTTGTATGTTTTTGTTTGGGGGGGGGGGAGGACTGAAATTGCTTAATTTCACTGAATCAGTCCATCTTCTGCCAGTCAACAAGAGCTTTCAGCTCAGACAAAGACTAAAATAAAGCATACCAAATAAAACCCATGGACATATAATTGTCATTTCCCAAAAGCTTCTTTCAGTCCCAGCTTCTCAGAAAACTAACCAAGCATTAAAGCTGCTGCCTCTCAGGGAAACTAATTATAACTCAAAAAAAAAAAAAAAAAAAAAAAAGAGAGAGAGAGGGAAAAAAAAAAAACAACCCACACATCTAACTGAAAATATGAAGGATAATTATGTCATTAAAACTAACAACATTTCAGATGGCAAAAGAATCACAAGGCAAGAATGGATGTGTTGGACACCATCAGGCTCCCATCAGATTATTCACAATAAAACTGCAGCCGTCACCAGAAGAACCTAATCCGTGTGTGCTTCCACTGACAGGGCTCAGATGTGTGTGCTCGTATTCTTCAGCCCCAGCAGAGTCAAAAGTGTCAGCAGTTCATTGTTTGTCTGGACCAAATGGACTCTTCGAGCTCCTTAATGACCCACGCTGAGCGCCATCCCGGCGAGGACGAGCTCTCGCAGCGCCGCAGAGGAGGCTCCTCCTCACGCCGGACAAGGAGCTGCTCACAAAGCCCCTGTTTGATCAGCGCAGCTCCATCGCAGCGGTGTGGGCACAGCAGAACAATCGTCCTTTTCAGAAAAACCAAGCCCTGGAAGGGACGGAGAGCGATGGGTGCTGCGAGGACCGCCAGGCGGCAGGAGGTGGGTATGTTTTCTGGCCATAACGGGTCCTGAACCACAGCAGCCATCTCCGTCAGCATGACTGCACAGCCCCACAGGAATCACAGGAGCATCTTTTCTGAGTAACTTTAATCATTCCCTGTCCTAACCTTGCCAACAAAGGACTTGATAAAGCAAGTTGTCCTGCGAGCAGCTGCACTAACAGAACTCAGTTTCCTGCGGATCGCTGCTCTGCCCCTTGCACTACCACTGACGTTAGCCCCGCTTTCCTCCCACCATCTCCTCCCTGCTTCAGCCTCGGGGTCACTCCACACCCCTCACCGCCACATTCCCAGTTTTCCTGAGGTTTGCTCCTCCTTCAGACTGGTTTCCCAGGGAATGTGGCTCTCAGCACTCAATACCTGCTAGATCCCTCCCTTGCTGCCATCACCTCTTCACCGCAGCGGTCCCACTTCCTTCCATTTCCCATCCGACACCCCACAGCTCCCCTCCCGTCCCCGACACGTCTCCAGTGACATCTCCCCCAAAATCTCCACTCGTCTAAAGCCACTCACAACGACGGGGCAGATGGTTTCTGTACGCCGACTACTCGGGGCAAGCAGAAAGGGCAGTGGCTGAGCGATCACAGCTTTACCTCGAGGGGACGTTAATCGAGCCTCTGGGAAATTTCCAGCAGCCCTCATGAAATTCATAAAAATCGCGATGTCTCTGAGATGCTTCCCTGCCTTGCCAGATTGGCTAAAATTTGCTGACAGTTTGGAAGTTACGGGGAGGAGCAGGGGGGGGCCCAACAGATGGACAGACAGCCACGGAGACCGTATAAGCCTCATTTCCTAGAAAAGCAGCCTAAAAATAGAAGTACACAGGGGCTGGCGGGCTCAATTAACACAAGCAGGCAAGGGTTTTGACTGCCAGGGCTGGCCTGTGAACCTGATTACTGGCCTTGCTGCTGCACAAGAGGTTCAGGTCCCCCTTCTGCGTCGTGGCTGCAGGAGCCCACAGCCTCTCACTTCCTAGACTCATTAAATTCACTCGGAGCGGCAACTAATTGGGCTTCAAAACCCTCAGTGGGTGTCAGAGCATCTCCTGTGGCTGAGGGCCACTCAGCCCAGGGGGAAGCTAGGATGTCTGCCCGAATGCTGCCTTGGATTTCTCACACCCCAGCCTCAGGTCAGACTGCAGCTTCCCTCAGTAACACAGCACACGGCCTCTCAGGCACTGCCACGTGGAGGGATTTGTCCACGTCAAGTGGAATTTACCCAGTGGAAAAAGCCAGCACAAAGTGCCATCTGAAATTCACCACGAAATGTCCCTGCTAAGCGGTGACCAGGCCTTGTTTGTGCATGGGGCCTGGATTTAATTCCATATAAATATCAGAGGTGCTCATCCTGCGGGCTCCTGACATATCTCCCTCACACAGACCTCGCGATTTTCGGGTGAACCATTATTAACCTCGCTGGCTCTGCGATGGCAGCGGAGAGACCGCACGGAGAAGTGCGGCAGTGTGCAAGGACAGCAGAAACTGAAATCACTATATTTCATTTCAAAGTGCTTAATCTTCTGCCCGAGGAAATTAATGTCACAGAAAAAGATGATCTGAGATAGCAAACTGCTGGGAGAGCTCAAATCTTTTTTTGATCTGCTGCACTGCTCCAGGCAGGCTTTTTTTTTTTCAGGCCATGCCGTGCAATCACACTGGGGCGTTCGTGAACTTTTGGTGACCCTAAAATTGCCCTATTTAATTGTTTTGCAGACACAGCCACCTTACAAGGGCCTGAGCCTTCCCCAGGGGTCTGGGCAGACCTCAGAGCCCTACAGAGGCTGTGCTACCCACCCTTGCAGCCCACCTGGTGGGGTTAGTGCCCTGCCAGGTGCCCCAGAAGCCAGGAGCCACCTCCTGCTCTCCTTCCCCAGCACCTCCGAGCAGCCCCAATGCTCCAAGTGCCTGCTCGCACCCCTCCGAGCAGCTCCTCAAAGCTTCCTCCTGCAGAACATTGCCTACGGGGAAGGAAGGGGCAGATGTCGAGCTCAGACCAGCAGCCAAGAGCCCAAATTTCTCCTGCTGTTGTTATGGTTGCTTCAGCTTTTCCATAGCATGTTAGCGTCACTGACTGCTGCACCTTGTCACCTTGGGAGCTGCTGCCGGTGGTAGCGGGGGCTCATGAGGCAAAGAGATGAGCAATGGCACAGGGAACAGACCAGCGGCCACATCAGAGACAAGGGGCTGGTCAGGAACTGAGCCCACATGAGATAGGAGAGAAATTCAGGTTCTTGCAGAGATCCCTGCAGTGATAAATAAATCCTGCCTCAGCAAAACTGCCTTCTGCTGTGGGTATTTCAATGGCACAATAGCTTGGGAAAGGATTTTTGCTTTTCTCTTCTCCTTTGATATTTTTCCCACCAACCTGATATAAAACTTCATTAAGATAAATGAATTGATGCAGGCAGGAAGAAAACACAAGCACCTTAGCTTCTTGTGAGATCTGCCTGGGGGATGAGACGAAGGGAAACCAGGAGCTAAACTTAGCCAGGGAAAAGGAAACAGGCTATAAAAACTCTTGTCAGGTGCAGAGGAACCTCTTGGGAGCTCCAAGGGTTTTGTCTTTCTAAAAGGAGAAGCGCAAGCAATTAGAAGAATGGTCACAACATTATCTCTTCTCAGGGAAACAGGATGAATCCTCAGTTTTCCAGGTGGCAGAGAGCTGTGAAGATGACAGCTGCACTTTTTTAGAAGTTGAGTTTTGGTAGTTACGCACCGGGGAAAGCTGCTTTCTTCTGACCCCGTGAGTATACCACGAGCACTCATTTTTTGTGGGCATCAATGACAAGAATCTCATGCCTTCCTCCTCCTTAGCATGCTCCCTGGGCCAGAAATTGTGGGGACAGCCATTCGCGAACATCGTGGGGACAGCAGGCAGGTCTGTGTAGTAGCAGCTGGGAATTTCTGGTCGTTCAGAATGAACCCAAGTCTACCTGGAAAGCACCCAGATGCAGTGAAGGAAAGCAAGATGTGTCAGCAGGCTAGCAGGGAGCCAGTGCTCCCAAAGGTGTCCCACCCCAAAAGCTCCCTGACAAAATTCCCTAATGACTCAAGAGCCAGAAAATGCCCCAGCTGGGTGAAAAGCCAAGGGAGAAGAGGGCATGGGGGAAGGAGACATTTCTGCAGCACGCAAGTGCACACTGGATGAACATTTCACCAGAAACCTCACCACGTCTCCTCTTGCTGAATGCTCAGATCAGCCCCACAGGAAAGGCTGAGGAAATTTTCATCTTCGGAGAGAGCCAGGAGCAGGAGCTCCAGAAAAAACAGGCCAGAAGCAGTTCCCTCATAAATAGTAATAATATCAGAAAGTCTCCCGGACCTCAAAGAGAAACCAGTGGGCCAAGGATCTGGCCAGCTGGGCTGCACCGGTGCAGGGGATTGCAGCTCAGGATATGAATCATGGAAGCAAGGCAGTCACATCCTGCCACGCGAGCGCTGTTTGTTTTTCCTGCTCCTTCAGCCCTGGGCCTCTGTGCCGTGCCTGCCACCGAGGCTGCCAGCTGCGGGGGCTGCAAGGTGGACGCCTGTCAGCAGGAACGGGGCCGTGCTCACCGCCTCGCTTCCCTGTGGCTCCTGAGGTGGCACCATGGTCAGAGGGCAGCCAGCAACCTGCAGGTCAGAAACCTCGCCTGCCACTGGCTGCTTTTCTGGAGAAGAGAGGGCAAAGCATGGGGACGCACTGCTCCCGTTTGGGAAGCTCTCCGTGGTCGCCGGCCTTACCTCCAGGTGAATGGTTGGCCAAAACCTGCAGCTGAGGAAAACCAAGCTCCCAACCAAAGACTGAATGAGGAAGCCCTGGCTAACTTCAGCACCTCAGGAATTTACCAGAGCCTTCCTCGGGACGGAGGTTTCCTCACAGGGCTGCACTAACACCTTCCCAACCACTGCAGCTTTGCAGGGAGCCAGCAGACCCAACACGGGTGAGGCTGATTTTCCAACGAGTGCCCTTATTAACTGCGACACCGCAGCTCGGCCAGGCAACACAGCTGTGCAAAGGTCACCTTGAAAGGAATTGTACAGAAGATCCCAGCTATAAGAAGCAATTAAAAATATATTACTTTAAATAACTCCCAAGGCTGTGTCCTCACTGCTGCAGGAAGGCAGGCATTTAGGACTCTCGCTTCTTTGTCAAGATCTTAAAAAATCCTATTAATGCTTAAAAAGCTCCCCTTTGTGAAATCAGCCATTTAGAGCAGAAAGGTAGCGGGAAGTGCACAAGCAGGAAAGCTCCATCAAAAGCGAGCCTTAGGTTAATTGGCACACACAGCAGAGACTGGATAAGGCCCGGGTTTCTGTAAGGAGACAACTGTGCAAGGTCTCCACTCCCAGACACATTAAGGCCCAAACTCCTCAGTGAGAGTTTTCTAGCCTGGTCTGCACTGCATCAAAAAATCTCAACAAATTGTGCCAGATCACCTGCAAGTCACTGGCACGGCTGGCCCAGGGTGGTGTGAGAGACTGCCACTCCCCAGGCACTGAGCACCGGCCCAGCTGTTCCCAAATTCAGGGTCACGACCCCATGTGGGTTGCAGGAATTGTGAGAATACTTACAAGGCTGAGTAAAATTCGTTTTCATCCAATATCTATGTTAGTGCTGCAAATCCACAGAGCTATCCACCCACACCAGGAAACTTCAGCTCCCCATCCCACTGCAGCCGTGTTCCCTCCTCTCCTAGGGTCCCCTTGTTGCTCTTTAAGCAAGATGCAGAGGCAGGCAGAGCATTTCCAGTATCTATTTCTCTAAAAGTGTGTTGCTATAAAAAAGCTCCCCAAAGTTACTCCAGATTCACATCCGTGTTTCATCTCAGCGAGTGGTTTACCTAAGCAAAGAGAGTGAATACGAGAAAATTTGGCTCCCCTGGTACTGTTATCATAGCTGAAGAATTTGGAAAAATATTACCCACATAAACGGCTTTACAGGTAAAACAATCTCCCGTGAACAAACTACACGGGGCATAGATGTCACTAAAAACAAACATATAACTTCCCTACCAAGGAGCTGCAGAACTCCCCTATGAAGCAGCTATCGAGGGCCATATGACAGCAATCTCCTTGCATACCAGCAATATGCTCTGCTAAGGAGAAGGTAAAACAAACACTACATAAAGGATTAACATCTCCCTGCAGGAATGTACTGACTCAGCCAGAAATTCTTGATGTACCAGGCCTGTTAGGAAAACACTCTTTTTAAAAAAAATCTACCCTGATAACAGCTTAATATTAAATAATCCCAAAGCTTGTAGGTCTGCCTCTTACTCTCTGGTGTGCCTTGGTAAAGTCTCAGCACTCAGTTTGCTCAGTAGAGGTGGATGGTATAGTGAAAAGAGGAAATGGAAAACCAATAGATAAAACAGGGATGAAAAAGATATTTATGCCAGAGGGCTCTCTTGTTCCCTAGGAATATGGGAACAGAAGCACTCCAGGAACAGCAACAACAAGACCCCAAATCCTTCTTAGTTTTGCTGAGCATTTCAAAGAATTGTCTTGAACAGCAGCTCTGAATTTTTCAAATAAAATCTAACCCCAAAGTGTTCACCTACTTTCCTATGTCAATTATATGGCTGGATGCTAGTCAGTTCTCACAGAAGGATCTCCCTGCAAGAGAAGTAAGCGTGATTATACTCAGTTTCATGGATAACCCAAACCATCAGGATGTTTCCATGTGATCCTGCTAAAAATAGCTGAAATAGTTCACAGCAAATTATAAATCTTAGACAGTTTCCTCTGTGCTCGTCATTTTAAATCACTTCAAGCAGTGTAAATAATTGACATTGATTCAGAGAAGGGCTGACTGCTACAGTGGAAGAAAGGCTGGTGCTACTCAAACAGGCAAGAACCACCCTCACCAGCAGCACCAGCTCCAAGTGAGACACTCAGTGCCTCACCTGCCACAGACACAGATTCAACACAAGTTTAGGATGAGTACATGGGGCTCGATGTGTACACAAGGTCCAGGAACAACTCTAATGTCTCTCTGGGGTTTAAAACTCACTCACGAGGGGGCAAGACAGATGTGGGACCATGGCCTCTTCTAGAAGATGTAGAAAAGAGCCCTACCCAGATTTCCCTGGAGACAACAAGCTGCTGCATACCAAGCCAGGACAGGCAAGAGGTTAATGGTACTAACTGGTCCAAAAAGGAAAATACTGAACATACAAATCAAAGACCAGTGACAGCTTTGGAAATCAGCTAGTCCATTGCATCCTGCCAGCCTGAAAATCTGCATCTCCTCAAACCCAGAACTGTCAAAGCCACTAGAGAAAAACTAAGGAGAGCAAAATATTGACTTCAAGCCCTTCATGCTCATAAATCAGAGTTTTCATTTTCCAAGCTGCAACAGTTTTCTTGCTTATGTGAGTGCAGGAAGCATTTCCCCACCAGTTGGTTCACACCAGCGATCATTCTGGTGGCCATACAAAGTACCCCTGTTGTATAACATTCCTTTGGAGGAAAAAAAAAATCTTAATTCAAACAGTCATCTTCCCCTTCATTTCATTTCACTCTGGTCTTCACACATAAAATGAACATCTGACAACGAACTGTTTAAAATCTAGGATCGCACGAACACCGGTGTAAATCTCAGGCCCGAAGACTGAAGCATTTCTCCAGCAAAAGCCTCCTGGGCGTCTGTTACTGGTTTGAACTTCAACCCGCGGCACAAGGATGACAGCATTACCAGTGGAGGCTTGGACAAAATCTATCTGTGAGGAAGCACAGATGTAATTCTGCTGATGTAAACAGATCTTTATGTATTAATGGCAAATTTAATCCATGATACTGATTACATTCCCCTTGGAGGTCCAGATAAACATCTGGTATAAATCAGTCTGGTTCTTTTGACTTCACTAGGATTACAATGCTCAAAGCCAGTTAAAGATCTCACCCAGTGTCTAAGGAATATTTACAGATTTTCACTTAAACCTGGCAAATACTATCAGCTTTAAGTTTCCAACCAAAGGCAGAAGGGATCAGAATGTGTTCAGTCAGAATAAAAATGATTTTTTTTTAAACAACGCAAAAAAGGAAAAGCAGACATTATTTCAGTGCAGCCAGCCTGAAACATTTAGTTCAAAGTAAAAGGGTTAGAATTACAAATGCTTTTAAGTCTCCTTAAAAAAAAAAAAAAAAAAAAAAAAAAAAAAAAAAAAAAGGCCAATCTTTATGCTTAACAGTACTGTGTCAAAACAGAAAGGTAAAGTTTTGTTTTGAAAACACTGAAATGAGTTGTTCCATTTTTCATTTAGGGAACAACAAAGAAAACTTACTTTCTTTTTTTTTCTTTCTTTCTTTCTTTCTTTCTTTCTTTCTTTCTTTTTATTTCTTTCCTTCTTTTTTTTTTTTTTAAAGAACAAGAGGGCCTGTTCTGTTCTATGCAGAAATATTTTTTGAAAAAAAAAATTTTTTTTGCAGTTCTTCAAAAACTCACTTTTTTTCAGGCAACCTAGGAACTGGGGAGAGTGGAAGCACATTCTTTCAAACAGGAGCATTTTTGGGGATAACAATAACAGCAGTAAGAGAACTTCACAATCCCACTCATCTCCATTGCTCTCCCTTCTGAGGCTGTCTGGTACCTTTGATCACTTGGTAGCAATAATCTTGCAGCAAGCTAATGTTAGCAAATCTGGTAACTCAGAGAGAACCTGGTTTCCCCCACAGCTGAGCTGTGTTTAGTAGAGACACGAAAGAGCCCCTATCACACCTGCAATTACATAGGAGTGTCTGTGCTCACCTGGAGGTGTGGGTCCGGCAAGCACCCAGACACTGAATTCTTAGGGTTCAGCAGCATCAGGAACAGACCTGTGAGCTAAAGGCTCAGAAAGGGTCCTGCTTTCTCCTCTCCCTTGTACCACTGCCAGCATGGCACATCATGCCCATGCTGCCTTAATCCCCATGTGTCTCTCAGGCCACAGACAGATGCTTCTGCTCAAACCCAGCTCCTGCCTGCTGCCTACCTCTCCTCTTCCCTGCTCCTTGCCCCACCAGCTAATCCCCAAAGAACAGCATATACCTGTACACCATGCTTAAAGCATTTTGTCCATATATAAGAGTAACAACCACAGGATAAAGCAACCTCTCACCTTCTAGAGACCGCCATGCATTCTCTCGTAGAGTTGTGAGCTCTTGGCATTATGGAAAATGTTTCCAGTGCCCAGGTGACTATTGGCTGCTCCTTGGTATTGCTTGACAAAGTTTTCAATGTCTAAAAAAATAGCATTTCTTTCGGTGTGTGCTAGATGCTCTAGTGGCAAGCAGGAGGAGCATACTCATACCAGTGGCTATGTGCAGACCCTGGACATGTATGGCCCTTAAAACCAGTTGAGTGCAGCAGAGATACAACCCCCTAAGTTCAGCAATAGCAGGCTGGCATTGCCTATTTCTTTTTAAAAGCAGACTTTTTTACCTCCTCACAGCTGGTGCTTGCGTGGTATCAGCCATCTGGAAGTTGAGCTTCTTTCTAGGAACCTCATTTCACTAAATACATTTTCATCTGCTCTTCAGAGAGAGAAAGCAAGCAGAAACCAAGAGTGAAGCCTGCTGCAGGATCCTGTGAACGCCGCTTTGCACTTCACTGCAACCCTCTCTTGCCTACATTTGTTGCCAGGTGTTTACATTCTTCATAACAGATTGATTTGCCATTGACTTTCCAGAGCTGCTTTCAGACAAGGAACTCTAATTTGAAGTGACTTGTGCAGGCCTGATCCTTAGAAGTGCTGAGCATGGCCACAGTCAGCTCTCCTGTAAGAACAAGACCATCATTTTTAATCTGTGAGGAAGGCAAAACCAAAAGCAACAGCCATTTGACCCCAAGAGATTGTTATTTCAGTAAAGAAAACAAGTAAAACTTGGCATCAGCTTTGGGGCATAAAAGAAATATTTAATCATTTCTTAAACGCATTGCACATTAAAATAAGTGGGAATCACCCAATCCAAGGAGAACAGATTTCTGTTAGCTGGACAGTCAGGACAGTCTTTTTTTTTATTATTTTTTAAATCAACAAACTTTAGAGAATGACTCAGCTGTGACCCAAGCTATTTTATGATTATTTTCCAACACAAAGAGATATTCTAAGTCCCAAATGTGGGGACTGGAAGGGAAAGGAAAAATTACAGAGCTTTTGGAGAGTACTAGAACAAAAGAGCTAAGAGGGTTATCACCCTCCAAAGCTTTCAGATAGATAAACAGTCTTCAAAAGCAATATAGATCAGCTGTTCTGGCTCCATAAAATATTCCTGGGCTGGGAGCATCAGTTTTATGACCCAGTGTTCAGACATGGGTGGCCATTCCATCAGAGTGCAAAGGTGACGTGGCAAATGCCTGCATGACTGAGGAACAACATCCTCCAGTACATGCGATCGCTGCGAGCCTCACACATCAGATGCTGAAGGGCCGCAGAATCGATCCTTTTCCAAGAGGTTGGAGCAATGGAAATCACTGCTTTGCTGTTGTTTCTGCACAGATCCCATGTCTGTAGTATGTCTGGTCTTTTTTCACCGCAGTCTTACACTTTGCTTCTCCTGTGAAGATTGCCTTGTATGTTCTCTTACCACCCTCTCTCCACACATTTATGCAAAGGGAGGCAAATGACATTTACTTGCGGTTTGCATAATCTCATCCTGTATTTATAGCCACAGGAATTTTGATGCAAATCTTTCCTTTTCCTTCTCCCTTTTCCTTTCCCTTTCCCAATACAAAGACCCTGTAAGGAAAAGAGTTCCACAGAAAATCTGAAAATTCATAATAGTGACTCACATTTATTATGCCCCATCCAGACTTTTCTTATATAAGGCTGAGTCACTCATTAGCTGAACCTTTGCAAAGAAAGAAGAAAATTTGATTTTTTTTCAACATTTGTTCAGATCTCAGTTTTCTCAGTTACAGCAATGCAGGTTATAGCTTCACCAGAATCTTGCTTTAATTCTCTGTGACTTCTCTCTCTCTCTTCTCTCTCTCTCTTTTTTTTTTTTTTTTTTTTATTGAATTGCTAACCTGTAAGACCCACAACAGAAGGGCTCTGCCCAAACAGAGGCAGCAGTGATCCGGTTTGGCTTTTGGGCTGTTACCTGGTACGATTTTAGGTGAAATTGGTTCTCTTGCAACACCTTCTTCCATTTCACATGCTCTGGACATTTCAGTATTTATTTTCCAAAGCCCCCACAACACATATGTCACGGAGATATATTCGTCTCCCTGTGCATGTAAGTTGTGTTGTTTGAGAGTTTATTGCTAGTTTGGACCTCTGACTTGCCCTGCCTCGTATATAGCCATCACCCCATTAGCTGCCTAGCCTGCCCGATTTGGGGAAACACAGTGGGTTTGTGCATCTGCTGGTTTGCTCTGAACCTGAACAAGCCTCCCGAGGGCTGCCGTTCCAGCAACACTTCTTTCCAAACCTTTCCTGCCACGCTCTATGAATACAACACGTTTCACCTTTGTTTTTGATCAACCCTTTTTGTGGCCAATCATTTAATGTGGAATTTGAGGAAATCATAATCTTCATGGAACCCTTAATATTTATTTTTTTTCACCTTTAGGTACAAATCACACATTTTCTTGTCATGCTGCACGTCGTAGTGCCCTAGGTTTCATTGTACAAAGCTTGTTTATGATGTCGGTGGGTATTGTCTAGATGGCAAAACAAACAGATTTACCAGATTTTCCCAAGAAGAATGTTTAGGAACCCATGCGGCTTCAACAACTGATGGAAAGATGATCAAGAAAAATAACCTGCTCTGGACTTCTTAATTATATAGGAATAACCAGTGCAATGTCTTTGTCCAGTGGGAAAACAAAGTGAGCATTTAAAGATGTGCTGGTTGGGTGACTGGCAATTAAATCACATGCAGAGCAGTGAAATGTAATTTCTATCTTGCAAGGATTTTGTGCTTGTGTTTGGATGTGTATGCCCCTTCAGCTGCTCAGTAGACAGCAGCATAACCCTGTGCAAGCTTTTCAGTGTGTTGCAGCTGCCAATGCACTTCACATCTGTTTGGAGGGGAAGGTCTCCGGGGTTAGGCAGAGAGTTCAAGCCCCATGCTTAGTTTGAAACTCATCCTGCAGCTGGCTCCCACACCTCTGAGATTCCTATCACTGTGTCCCTGGACAAAAAGCTGTCCCAAAGTGGCAAATCACTGTCACATCTGCTCTCTATCAAAAGCCAGTCAGCAATTACATACACCTAACTCATTTAGACACTTGCATCAAGTAGCTACATTGATACAAACAGACGGGCACCAAATATTTGGCTCTAAATGAGGAGATGCTTCAGGCAGAAATGCTCACAGTGAGGCCATGATTTCAGAGAGATGTTAAGCCAGGATGGGACAGCGGTCCCATCCTGCCCTTACTTGCCCTTTTGCTGGTGTCAGCTCAAGCATTTGTGCAGCCTCACGGTCCACAGGGTGAAAGAAATGATCCAGTGAAAGACAGCCTGTCATCAGCAAAAAATAAAGGTAAGTCTCAGCACAGAGAGATGGTCTAACCCCCACCAGCATGTCCACGGCCACCATGGAGGAGGTGGCAAAGCCCCCAGAGAGTCAGGAGACCACCAGACAGAGGGCACACCAAGATGAGATCTCTGAGGTCCAAGCACACGTGCACGTTTTTTCCACATAAGTTGCAGTTAGACTTGATGATCTTTGTGGGTCCCTTCCATCTGAACTATTCCATTCTCACGTAAATACCTCTGACTGTTTTGCCTACTGAGTACATTGTAAATAAATAATTTGGATTGCATTTTACCTTAACCTAACTGAAGTAACGGTGACTCACAGTAACTTGCATACCTTTCTTGTCCAAAGGGTGCAGGGGAAGCGCAGTGAATCTGCACACCGGAGCTCTAGGTCACCATCAGAAGTGCCCAAGAAATGCCCTTGCAGGGCATTTTCCAGAGCACCCGGAGGGTAAAGAAGCATACCACAAATAAGTTGCATAAGACAGTGTGAGAGATGGCACTGGGGGTCAGAAGAAAAAGAAATGTGTGCCACCTACCCCAGAAAACATGACTTGACAATTTCTTACACAGAGGTAAGCCGCAGGAACAGGGATTTCAGCCTCTTAGCATCAACACATTGAGTTGAGCTGAAAACAAGAACAATATGCCAAACGTTTATTCTGAAAATGAAAATTGATCTGCTCACAGCCAGTTCTGCACTTTGCTTTTCTGTTGACACAAAAGGGTCAATATTTGCTATTCTCTGGCTCCTATGGGCTTGCCACCAATACGTATTTGCATGGAGCTCAGCACTACCCAGGTTTCTTGACAGTAAGCCAGAAGGGCACAAATGTACTCAGAGGTTTTATAAATGACTAGGAAATCCCTCTCCAAAGTACTAATTCTCACAGACAAGTGTTTTGAAGTACTCACCTCATTTAGGTACAGTGTAAATATGACTTTCAAGAAAAAAAATGCCCTGTTTTAGCCGTAGATCAGCTTGAGTGTCAAAATGAACGTCTGAGTAGATCCTCCTGCACCACACTCTGCCAAGCAGTGTTAGTGTTGCGGGCCAAGATCAATTGAAGAAATGTGAATCACATCTACCTCATTGAATCCTGTTATCATTATTACTTCCCAGCTCATTTTTCCTTCCCAGCACAAGGCTTTCTGAGCACAGGAGTTCACTGAGCTCCTGGTAACTTGCCATGCACACTGCCAGAGCTGGCATTTATCAGGCTTTGTTGGAGGGACGTTGAAGCTTCCGTGCTTGCAGTCCCTGTTCGCACACGCTACCTCTGTGTGATGTTAGCGTGTCATTGAGCAGTCCAGCTTCTTGAAAGCTGCACCAGCAGCCTCGTTGGTTCGTTTTTTCCATTTATGAAATATATAGTTTTAAAAGGTTGTATTATCACAGGTTTTTGTTGTTAGCAGCACATCTAATTCCACTGAGATCGCATTTGTTTTGGATGTGACTGCCCATCATGGAGTTTGCTAATTCTTTTATTTTCTGCTACTAGTATTAATGAGCTAATGGCTCACCTTCATGTTTTTGGTGCCTTTGCATTAGCATACTTTGGAATGAACTACATAGCTCAAAAAAAAAAAAAAAAAAAAAGTGCTAAAGAGACTTAAATTAGTCATAAAAGGGATTACACATTCAAAATAAAATTATTCTTTCATTTGTCTCCTTAGGAGCTTCTTTGACAACATCTGAAGACAAGGCAACACCTCCCACTAAATTGTGACACGTTGACTTTCATTTTTAGGCACCAAATATTGGAGAATGAACACTCAAAACTACTGTGTCCTGCTGCTCAGCTTCCCTGTTCACATCTACAGACGAGTGAAGTGTGGGCAAGGACAATAACTATTAATATAGCTGATTTTATACAAGGATTAACTAATTCTCAGGCAAGTAAAACCTGACTCCAAAGAGGAACTGTTCCCAAATTTTCATGCATATGTTAAATGAGGAATGAGCAACAGAGGTGGGGAGAGAAAAGGGCTCTTCTCTTTGTCCCCAGTTCTGCCCCTCATTAAAGCAGTATTGCTGAGGATGCTCACAGTGCAAGTCCCTGCCCACTCCAGCATTTTGGGGATGCGCTGGCAGCCTCTGTGCTCCTCTCACTGGCAGAGGCTTGGACCACTGGCAGCATGGAGTGCAGCTCTGAGTTCAGCCAGGGGAAGCTGGCATAAGTATGGCAAAGAACAAGCTGGTTTTAGCCTGATAGGCACTATCAGAGCCTAAGGTATCCAGAACAACATTTTTAAAAATCTTTTTCAAGCAACAGAGTACTTATGAAATATCAAAGTGCATCTCCAACCCACTGAGCAAGCCTACCTCAGTATATACCCTTCCAACAAGAACAGCATTTATTCTGAGAACTGGAAATTTCTTTTAGACTTTTACCCTTCATAGACTGCCATGTTTTTAAGTTTCTCTTTTCATCATGAACTTGACTTTCTCATTAAGCCACTCATATACTTGAAGTATCTGTCAGGGACACTGGGTGAAGTAATGCTGATGACTACATGTTCCCAGTAATCAATACCTTGCATGCATGTGATTTTAAAAATAAAAAATAAAAAAGAGAGAGAGAAAGAAATGCTACTATTATTAGGGCCATAAGTTTTGGGGGAATTTGCCCATGCTCTGTGGTAGGTTAACCAGTTTCAGGTTGAAGAACTTTAAGAAAGCAGTCTACATCCAGCCTGACATTTTTATGACATGTTTAACTGAGGAGCTTATAATTAACTTCCGAGGCACATTGTTCATTTCAGGAATGACTGGCCATCTCTCCCACCCATCCCTGCCTTTGCCCACTTTACAGCCTGTGACTGGAAAAGCTGAAGTTATAACAAACCTTCTGCTGGAAAGGCAGAAGACTAAATTGGACTTAAGGGGAGAAATTTAATACAATACTGTTAACTCTGACAGTCATTTTGTAACACCAAAGCTGGAAAACAGTGCTCTCAGCTCTCTGATGTTCAGATTTCTCCCTCTGTAAAATGGGATTAATAGTACTTACCTATTCCACAGACATGTTGAGACAATTTGTCTACCACAATTTGAAGTCCTCATCTGAGAGATGCTTCAACAAAGCAGATTATTATTAAAATCACAGTCCTTTTGGAAAAGCAGTTAAAAATAATACTTTGTATGTTCAAGTGCATGCTCTAGTCTGTTTTCCACTGCTGGTCTTCATTGTATATTTGTTGGTGTATTTTAAGAATGGCATGGCTGCAAACAAATAACATCTGCCTGAGAAGTTTTCTTTCAAACAATACCAAAAAAAATGGGCAGATGAAATGGAGGGAGCTCTTTGCCATCTCTTGGGTCTTTTCTTTCTCACCAGGTACAAGGCTAGAAAACAATAAAGTGGAGCACCATAAATGACAGAAATCTGCATGCCATTGTCTCATTTGATGCTTACTGCAGAGAACATGCATTTTACGGTTTTCAGTCATCATCTTTGCATGAGTAATGATCCATTTTGTTGCTAAGGATCTCTACTGGTGGCAAATTAATATGTGTGGATACATTAAGCATGTTTTCCCTTGAATGTGTGATTGTTTCACTTCCCCCTCCTCAGAATACAAACAAATGCTGCTGTGCCTCACCGCGGTGTGAATCAGTAGGATCTTCCAGTTTTGCAGGCACAACCAGAAAACAAAAAATGACACATTTTTCACACAAGTTAAAAATATCTCAAAACAAACCTCTTTGTCACACAGGGCTGGATTCTGATCTTAGAAAATGCATGAAATAGGAGTAGATCCATGGAAGAGAAAGCAATTATTCTGTACTTCCCCTAGAACTGAGGATTTTGGTCCTCTGAAGATGTGAAATATGTGAAGAAGCTCCTGCTTCTTACTTTTTCAAACCACATTTGGCATCTTTTCACCTCACTTTCCCTGGCCACACAAACACACTTAGTTAGGGAGAGTCTACTTGATGTTATACAACTGCAAGATGTCTGTCCTTCAAAGGAAATTATGTAGGTATATTTGAACAACAATTAAACAACATTTCATATTTGAAATGTCTTTCAAATAACCTTATGCTACAGGCCAAAGAAACCGCTCCCAAGCAATTGCAAGTTCCTGTGTGGCTGACATGGATTTTACCTTTTCAAGTGGAAAGGCACACCAGGCCAATGAGCTGATAATGCATGGTCAAGCATAGTTTTGAATTTCCTCATAAATCTGGCATCATAAATTTGGTACTTGTGTAAACAAAAGGGGAAAAAAAAGAAAAAAGGATAAACATTCCTATAAATCTTAGAGCACTTACCCTGAAGATCAGAACAGTTCCTTGAGTAAATATGTAATTAGAAAGTGTTACAAAGTGCATTTAATTTACTTCAGAGATGAGAGTAACTCCGCTGGAACCTTTCTGGTCCTTCAACTGCATAAATACCTACAATTAGATTTATTTTACTTTATTTTTTACTAGACAAGACATGCTATGAATCCACTGGAAAAGAGCAATCCCAGAGCTAGCCATATATCCATTTGGTGCTTATGTAGCTTTTCATTAATATTTTGAAATTATTGGATTTCAGACCTTTTTATGAAGAAAAGACAAACGACATCTCCCCATCAGAACCAACCTGAGACATCAAGCTTCTTAAACTGCGTTATTCCCCCATCCTCCATTTCTTAGAATATCTGAACAGACACTGAGCCGATACATTTAAAATTACTAGGGAAAAATGATTTCTTGGCTGTCACTTTGCCAAGTTTCACTGTGAAATGTGTTTTTGTATCTCCATTATGAAACTCCACAAGTAGGGAGCAAAGACCGAGCAGCACTGGGAGGGATACTGAGCTGCAGTCACAGCGAAGCAAAGCAGCCCACTGCCAAGCCTGCACCCATGTACGAGCTGAAATACCAGGCGAGGAGCACTGAGGAGGCTTTTGTGGCTGACCAGAGCATCCGTGTGTGTCTGCCTGGGCTTTGCAGCTCCAGCAAACACCTTGAACAGCAGCAATTGCAATTTTGTGATAGTGCTCAATGGCATAGCCATTTTCTTTCACGCTAAATATGATCTGAGGTAAGGTGCTGAAGAGTCGGCAACTATGACATTGAGTGAGTCTCAAGTCATACGTGTGCTTTTACCAACGTCACCATCACTTGCTTTTTCCCGATTTCACATATGCATTAGGAAAAATTAAACAATTTTACTATTAAAACCATCTTGACACTACTGGGTCTCAGATCTTTTTATGGACATAAGAAAAATGACATCTCCGCATCAGTAGCCAGAAAGGCCACCGTTTGCCTCATAAAATAAATAACTCTGTTATTTTTAACTTTAAAGTTCAAAAACCAGTTTGCTGTCTTTGAATCCGATTGACGCATTACAATGAAATGCAGAAGCAATTATGAAAAACTTACCGTTTTGTGCTATATATCATTGCTTCATTATTTCTAGCTGTTGAACTTGGATCGGCTTGGTGGCATGAACAGATTTTCCAACAGGTAATCGACTTCAAGAGAACGCCTGGAATAATTTTCGCTGGCTGTTACACTGAGAATGAGTCTCCTTCCATTAATTAATCACTTTGGGGGAAATGTTTCTTTCTGAATAAACTCATTATTTTTAAACACATGACATTTGGCTGTATAAATAAGCTCTAGAACTGTGATTTAAAACGTGTGCTTACTGTAGGCATGGTATGCCATGGATAGCAGAGCCTCCTCTGCATTTTCTGGAATGACTTCATCTTCTGATTACAAAGAAAAGGAGGCAGGGAAATGAACTGACTTGTGATTTCACCCACTTATTATCAGGATTTAATACTTGCGTGACTTTTGAATCTAAAGATGCCCACAAGGGGACATCAACTGTGTACCCAGAGAGACTGAAGCATACTCACAGAAAGCAAAAGCACATCTAAAGATGACAGAACCCAACCAAACCCAAACCAAGATGCAACAAATTAGTCTTTGCTAACACAGAGATACTCCCTCAGGCTCCCCTGCCTCAGTTCAGTGACAGTCATTCAAAACTTACTTCATTTTAAAATGGTTTTCACACGATGAGGCTTGGGCAGATGTTCTCTTCCAAATCTGGTTTTACCATCTGAGGATATTACTACCCACATTGCTAACGAAAGGTTACAATCTCCCAGCTAATTTTATCTCAAGTGTATTGAGATTTCTCATCAGCAGAGCTGGGTGGAAGTCTGCCTCCAATACAGAAGCCGAGTTAACAACACCAATTAACAAAAATAATAATAATCTCGCCAGCAAAAACGCAGAGTGCCTAGTAACAATTTCTGGCTGCAAGTCTAAAAAAGCCAAAGAAAATAATTTTCCTTGCAATGAATGACTAGATGTGCAACTACTTGACTAGGGGAATGGAGTTAGTCCTGGTACTCATTGCCACAAAATGCTGTGGTTTGCAAAAAGTTTATGTTGATTTCAGGAGATGAAATATGTTGATAAAGGGTAGGGCCATTGCTTGCTGGACCACGATGGTCTGGATGCTGAGGTTAAAGCCTCTGACAATCAGAAGGATGTATACCTTCTGTAAGAATTTGCTGCTAGCCATAGATACCTATAGGGCGTCTACCTGTCCCAGAAGGGTCGTTTTTATCCTGACAGAGTTGCTCTGCATCAATTTTTCAGAAGTACCTGTAAGGGAACAGTGGCTTCAAGCTCAGTCTGGACCACTTGGCTTTTGTCTTTTCCTCCCTGCTTTTTCCTAGCCTTCATACAAAGGAGGACTTCACACCACAACAGACCCCAGCCCATCCAGGCTGAATTCAACTCAAAGTACTCTGCTCCAAAAACCCATCCCTGCCACTTCCACCGGAGGAGGCACACCAGCAGTGACAGAAGTATTAGCGTTTCACTGGAAGCATCAGAAGCCAGACAGGTGTTTTCTATGCCTGGTATGCCAGCCCACACTGGGCAGTAGTTCACACAGGTAGGTACAAATTTAACATGATGCTCCAGAGTGTGCAATTGGAGCAAACACTCTGATAATGATGGTTTTTAAGGGTCCCAACTAAAAGCAGCGTTTTTCTAGCCACACCACTCAAGCATCTCCCTCACTTGGTCTTACCCTGGCCCCAGGCCAGCAGCAACAAGGGAGCAGGAGCCGTCCTGCCTGGCAGCCCCGGCAGCCTGCGCCCTCGGCTCCCACCGGCCCGCTGAGCAACGCGGACAGGAAGGGAGCTGCAGCTGCAGCTTTGGCTGCACTTCACTCAGAAGGTATGCAGCCACAACTCCAAAACACCGAGCACTTTACTGACCTTCTTAGAGAACTAGCTAAAACAGGAGAAAAAAAATAACAAAAATAAAAAATAAACTAAAATTTATTAAATTCATTTAAACTTTTTTTTTTTTTCAGTCATTTGGGAAGCTCCAGTCTGCATGATGACTACAAAAGCAATGCATCCGACAGACTTGCCACATAATTTGAATGTGTCTGCACAAGATGAAAATTCAAACCTTCCCTACTTAAGCTATCAATCAAAGTGAAGCTAAAATTACAGCTTAACAAGCAGGTATACATGTTTTAGTTAGCAAATGAGGCAAGCAGGGCACAGTATTTTTAGATGCAGTTATGAGGAAAAGGGTGAAAAATAGAAGGAGGAAGGAAGGAAAAATTGTGTCTCTTAGCTTGGCTCAGGCTTCTGAAGTTTCAGCTAACATTGGCGATGTTTGGGTATGATGCTTCTCCTAATGGCATTCAAGAAGTCTCTCGGACTATTGGTGTGCATGTAATTATACTGCAATTTTAAAATATATATATATGAGCTAGAAAAGAGTGACTGAAACCTCCCCAAAACTTACAAATTACTTATGAGCTGCTTTATTAGGTGAGCCCAGAGGGTTAGGATGATCATAAAACACTGCTTTTCAAGCAGATGCTCACCAAAATCCAATGCACATCAAGTTGATGTGCCTTCCAGCTGAACCCACAGAGAACTTTGGGATTACTAAATCCGGATCAACATTGAGCTGCTTTTCTCTCTCAAACTATGGAAACGATTTGCCCAAACATAGCCATCATTCATCTCCCCTAACACCGCACAATAACATGCCAGTCACAGCGCTGCTGATCTGACTCTAGTCTGGGCCGTCGGACCCGCAGCCAGCCAAGTTTCCATTCCCTGCATTGTATCAGCGAAACTGCTTCCCGTAACGCTGGGTGATGGAAGGGGACATCTCATTTATCTTGCAGGTGCGCTGAACTCGTTGCCGAGCATATTAATGAAAGTGACAAATAGGCTACGGCCTACCACAAAAGCTTTGTGGGTCTGGAACCACTTGCACGTTTGCAAGAGAGTTCACAGCAAAACACCCGTGTGCTCGCTGATGGAAGCCGCAGCTCCAGCAGAGGCATTGCTGCTGCTGCTCACATCTTTCCCCAAGGCTGCTGGACAAAAGTGCTCACCCTGACTGCTTTAACTCTGCCCATGACGTGACTACATGCATTTGTGCTTGTCCTACTTCTGCTGCATACCTGTAGGCGCTGCCTACTTCTGCTCCAGAGCAGAACAGTCAAAGGAGGCATCTTTTGCTTTGCTGCCAGCATCTCAGAGAGTTTTTCAGGTACCCAGGAAGCAAGTAGGTCCTCATTCCCCAGGCCTCATGCCCTTGTGTTCCTCCTTGTTCCCCTCTGGTTCCCAAGGTGGGGCTGTGGTGGGTGCTCACATGGGGCTCATGGTCCCTGGTCAGCTCTGGGGCAGCCTCAGGACCCTCGCCCTGCCTTGCCTTGTCCCAGCAGTACCTACACAGCTCCTGCTGCTCAGCTGTGGTCCTCTCAGCTGCCTCACGAGGTTCAGTCACTGCCTTCTGGAGGCCCAGATCTTAAGAGACAGAAGATACGAGGCCTCATCTTCGGGGTCAGGATCAGCAGTTTTGGCTACAGCATTCCTGGAAACACTCATAAGTAGACCTTCCAGGTATGTCCTGGATGTTAATTTGGGGCTTAATTCAGAAACAAAAGGAATTTTCCCTAGCTTTATTACATGCAAACACACACAAACACAAGCGCAGTCACAATTGCACTAGGAATAAATGAGTTCATCCTGGCACCCCTTGCAATGAAGAAAACCACAACGGAGGATGCCAGAACTCTGCCCTGTCCTCATCTTTTGGCACATTTTGCTCCTGATTCCCAATCTTCTGCCTTGGCTAAAGCATATCCACCCGTGGCAGCACTGGATTCAGGTCACAGAAGCTGGACATTTTTGCTAGAATTTGATTTAAACTGGAGCTGCCCTGGTAAACTGCTTATCATAAATAACATAAGACCGTCTTCTCAAAAAGATGTTGCAAAAACCTGTTTGCAAAAGACAGAAAGTCAGTTGTGAAAAGCTAGCTGTTTCTCATAGCAGAACAGTTTATTTGCTAATGTCTAGTGGAAATGGAAGAAAAAAACCTCAAGGGTGCTGCTTGATTCATTTTCAAAATAATCAGACAGACGTTTGAAGCAAAGGCTAGCTGGTTTCATGATACCAGAATCTGCTGAATGCTATTCTTGTTGGTTGGATGAATATGGGGAGTGGGGTTCTCTGTTTCTTTTCACACGTCTTTCTCCAAAAGGAATTATTTCATCCTAAATGGCAGCTAGTAACCCGCTGAAGAGGGAAAATAGACCAGCTGGTAGTGAAGAGTCAACTGTCTGGCCCCAGCTGGGGACTGAAACAAGAAGCCTTTTTGTATTACTCTTTAGCCCATCCTGGGGTGTGACTCATTAGTGTCTTCATGTCTCATCGAGATGTTTTGGTCAGTCTTTTAATTTTAAGAACAGTCTGATCTGTTTTTCCTTTTCTTTCGGGGTGCACGCTGTGTTTTCTTGCAGCTTCTACACTCTCCTGTCTGCTGGAGCCGCTTCAGGTTCAAGACTTCAATTAGGAGGAAGAAAGGTTGCTGAGCCAAACAAAAGACCTGTGGTGAGCTTTTGTCCTCCACCAGCAATTAGCTCAAAGTTAAAGCAGAAGTTGGAACCTCTGAGCTGCTGCAGTCCCACAGGTGTGAGCAGGCGGAGCAGGGCACAAGCTCGCTCAGGAGGGCCTGGGCTGGTGCCCTGAGCTCAGGACGGGGCCTGCACAGGATGGAAACACAGGGAGGCTGAATCTCTGCTTCAACAAGAAATTTTGCTGAAGTGCAGCATGTGCAGGAGAGTCTGGGGACAAGCTAAGGCAGCTGTGCTTATTGATTTTGACAGGTTTTTCTTTTGCTCAGGAGATTTCAGCCGCAGCTGGCAAATCTCCTGGAAAAAAACAACTCGTCCAGTGGGTGCTAGTAAAAACAGGTCCTCTCCCCAGCCAAAGCACCTCAGCAAGCAAACAGCACGGACGAGACAGGAAAGTCTGAGAATAAAGTCAGAGGTAGGAGTGCTGGGGAATGGAAAAGTAGAACCTGAGAGCAGAGTAAACTACCTGAAATAAAGTCAAAGACATCCATTATGCAAGTCTTGATCTATCCAAGCATCCCATTTTAAATCATCCTTTATTCTCTGAAACCTTGTAAGATCATAGCCTGGATGAAAACTCCAGTTGCAATTCTCACAGCTTCAAGAGCCTGTTTTCCTGGGTTGCCTTTCTCTGTGGGGGAGCAAAGCGAGTATAAGCAGGATCTATAAGAGGAACAAGGAGGGGAAAGTGAGGAGTAGATTTCTGATAGCTTGGAAAGAAGACGCGATGGACGGACAAAAGAAAGGTTCAGTGTGGAAGAAAACTAAAGGCAGAGCATGAGCAGGCTGTTGGCCACAACAAGAGTACCTCGAGGTGTACACATACAAGCCTTACTGGTGTTGGTTGGGGCCCAGGCAGCTGAGAGCCATGCTGGTGAACACACATTTGACTGAAATTTTGGAAGTGGATCAGCCCAGGGCACACCAGAGCCAAAGGGAAATATTTCTCATAGAGGGCCTGTGCTGATGCAAAGACCAATGCGGAGGCTGCCTTGGGATTTTCTGGGTGAACTGAGCCCTCGTGGTTGCAGGGAAATTCTGTAGCTAAGTCATTCCAACCGCAAACTTTAATATTAATTGTGTGTGTGCATTTCCCCTACCATGTTTATCAGCCTGGAAAATTAAGAGATGAGGAAAACAAGTAATGCCATGCCATGCTCCACTGGCTCTTCCCACTTAACATGGAGTGTCACCAAAGCCAGCTGCAATGAATTCAGAAAAGAAAATTTGGGCAGCTGCTATTTCCACTGCAACCATGCTCATTTGTGCCCACTAAAAATACCACCTCTGATACCACAAGAGCAGTTTACTTGAACTCATCGGAGTCAGAAAGAGGTCTGTCCCTCAGGAAACAAGACTACCACAGAAAAGGTTGTTTGGAGAGATTTTTTTTCTTTCTTTGCCTTTCTGCCCTAGCTGTATTTTTATGTGCACTCCAGAATAAGCACTGCTGTAACCAGTTTCTTTCATATCATAGACCCTGGTACTCAGCACTCCTGCACTCTGCCCTCCTTTCATTGTATTCCTTTTGCCAAGCTGTAACCACTTTTTCTGAATCGACCTCGATGACTCTGTCCAGCCTGAAGATTTGTGAATATTTTGAGCAAAACTGTTGGTCTGTTTCCAAAGCAGAAGCTGTTGTTTGAGATTTTCCCCATAACATCCTTGCATGAGCAACTCTGAACCACATGCTCTGGAGCACAGACCTGATATGTGTTACTGTGGTGGCCTTTGTATTTAAAGACTAAAACTTCCCACAGAAATTTCCCCGAAATGCGAGTATTTGGGAGGGGGGAAGAAAAAGAAACCACACAGCCAAAACCCTCCTCTAATAGTTCGCATGCACTCAATAGAAGTTTATAGCACAAATTCATCTCCCCAGATTTCATCTGTGTTCAGCAAGTTCCCACATCCTCTGATACTCTGGTGAAGAAACAGAGAAGATCCTGAGAGGTCTGCAGCCAACGGGCAGACAGAAGGAAAGAAAAGACACCCTAGGAAGCAAGGATAACCTCTTGATTCTACCTACACACACTGCAGAAATGCACTAGGCATACACCAACTTTTACAAGCAGACATAAACACTGTTAATTACTTTATACTGTAATCGTGACACTGGTTGTAACTCTGACCCGTTCCACGCTGTACATCCAGCAGTACAGGAGTTAAACAGACAGGGACTGAGAACAGGGATCAATTGTTGAGATTCAAGACAAGAGGATACAGAGGGATATTTGTGTGCCTGCGATCTGGACTTGGAAAGAGTATCGGGAAGAAAACAAAAGAAATCATAATGAATTGTGGCACTTCAGGCTTTTCAAACGTGGTGCAAACATTAACTGACAGGATTATCTTGAAGGCAAATTCCAGACAACAGCGTAGGTAAAGAAATGATCTCAGAGAAATATGCAGCCGGGAAAAGGAGAAAGGAATTTGCTCTGGAAAGAGACTGTTGGCCATGAAGGGTAAACCAGCCCTGGCACATGCCTTAGAACAGATACTTCTGGGGATTTGTGGAGGAGTTCAGCACACAGATGGGAGCTTACGGGAGCAATAGGTCAGGCTCCTTTGCCAGCCACTAGGACAAGAAGGTTTTGGCATCATTAATACCGGATTAACATATTTATTCACAAACACACACAGCTGCAGAAGGAAAGTTCTGACCCTGGGGTGCTGATGCATCACTGTCCTCAGCTCCCCTCCACCAGTGGGCTTCTGGTGCTTTTTCCCACAGTAAATCTCTTTCTCCTCCCCTACCTCTGAACTAGCAATTTCCTAACTCTTAGATTAACAGCACTTCAGTGGAGTATGAACAATGGGTTTGCACACTACATTGTCCAAAGAGGTACGTACAAGTCAGAAGAAAGAAGGAACAATACTCGCAGGCTGATAATCTCAACACCAACAGGAAGGGCAGAGTCACCTGTTAAAACAATATATTTGGAGCTGAACTCAGTAAGAATTTCTACTTTGGTTTATTCTTGCTACTTCTATAGTTTCACAGGTAAAAGTACACTTAGTGTAGAGGTACCTGCAAGAAGTACTTTGCTTTCATGCCCATTTAGTAGTGGCTATGAAAGAAGGCAGGGTGATGGAGAACAGTTTGGTAGGAACTGGGGGTTTATACAGAGCATAATAGAGAGAGCTGTGCAGTAACTGATCTGTCAGCTTGACAGCTGTCCTGGAAAAGTAGAATGGGGGAAAGATTTATTTCAGGTTGGCCTAAACTTATTTTCAGTTTTTCCTGCCAAAAGGAAAAAAAAAAAATCAAAAATTCTGAAAAACATGAGAAATTCAGTCAGGAATAGAAGCCTGGAGCTGCGCTCCAAACTGTGACTGCTGAGCAGAGCTGCCATGCTGTCAGCTTTTGGCTTCTTGCCTAATGGTCATAAGAAAGAATTTATATGGAAAACCGTCGCTAATACAAATCATATTTTAAACTTTTGATCAGCAATTAAATTTTGACTTCTCAAGAACTGACAACTAATTCACGCTCTGTACCAACAAGCTTGGTGTTATTAAAAACATTCCAGGCCAACAATACCAGTAATGTCACCAGCATGGTTTCTGTCGTGCCAAGAGCTATATTAAAAAGAAACCCATGCATAGCAAGGAACAAGAAACATATGTAGGTGATTTAGACACACACAATTGTTTGGGGGAGGTTTGTTTTCTTTTGTGATGTCTTCAATTATGAGTCCATGGGAAATCAGTGCAAGTATCGAAATTATCATAATGAAACATTTAATTTCCTAGCTGGTCTGTGCAGCAATCATGACAGCAAGATGCTGCCACGTCCAACCTCTGTGAAGAAACCAAGTGGCAAGCAGCAGTCATGGCATAGCTCATCAGGCTGCAGCCTTTTCTTCTGAGGCTAAATCCCAGTAGAGACAAGTGACTTGGCTGTTATGATCACTTATATGAAAGAACTTAAGATTAAAATGAGATATGATTTTGCTTTACTAATTGCAGTGACTTTTCCTTCTACTGGACTTCTCACTTCAAGATTGAATCTGCATTAAATGCATTAGTGAATGAAGTCCCAGAACACTGCTATGTGACAGACATAGCAATCCTTCTCACTTCTGAAGTTGGGACACACAAAGAAGAAAAAACAAGCTCTACAATTAATTTGTTTCAACTTCTGTGGCTGACGGGCTGCTTCCAAGAGCTTCAACAGAAGATAAGCACACTGTGTGATTTTGGACAATTTTGTGAGTAAATGAGATGCAAACCTATGTGCTGCAGTGAGAAGGCTTGGCTTTGGTGCTCCTCATCCTGCCAAATGTGTGGGTCAACACAGCAGATGCTGGGAGCCCAGGCTCTGCTCGTGAGGAAGCTGCAGGCCGCCATGAGGCCTCAGTCTCTTCTCTGGGCTAAACAACCCAAGTGACTTCATCCACTCCTCGTACTTCTTGCCCTCCAGACCCTTCACCATCTTCACAGCCCTCTTTGGGATGCTAATAGTTTGATGTCCTTCTTATATTGTGACACCCAAAACTGTACACAGTACTCGAGGTGAGGCCTCAACCATGCTGCCGCTGATGATGCTGATGGCACACTTCATAGCTAACTGTATGCTTCTGCTGAGCTGCAGGGCCTGAACTGCCATCTGAAAAATTTCCAGCAGAATGTGAAGATGCCGGAGGACATCTCTTAATAAATAAATAATTCATTAACTTTGACTAATGCAACCAGATAGGTGGTGCAGCAAGCCCTTTGTTTGCAATTAATATGACATGGCACCTGTTTAAATGACTTACATCAGGGTTCACGTCCCCATATATTGCTAAACCAATTGCACTCTACTGTAACTCTTAGGGCCAAATTTTACACACCACGTAAAGTGAAGGGCAGGGAAAAAAATCTGCCTTGTTCCCATAAGCAATTGAAAATTTGCATTATCTCCAAGAGATGTACCTGTTTGTGGCTGGAGGGGCACAGCCTGAAGCCCAGGTTACAAAATGGGGCTTTCAGTAACCTGCAGCACTGAGAATGTGCACGTGCTGCTTTCACAGAGTAAGAAAAAGAACTTTTGTGAATGTTGAAACTTACTGTTACAGTTGATCTCTTTAGATCCTTCTTGTTCCTGAGCTGACCTGTTCACTCAGGATTCACCTGTTGGCCAGTTAAGTAAAAGCAAGAGAGCAAACCATGGTCCTTCTCTGCAAAAAGAGAAAATAAACTCTCAGTTTGTCTGATGCAACAGAAGTAGTGGGATTCAGTGCAGAGGTATGCAGCTAATACCCCATACCCAACCACTGCTGAAATTTCTGCAGCTGAAGTATATCATTCACATTTTTAAAAAGAGGAGGAGAGCATAAATTTATCATATCCATAACTTTATAGTTCTTTTCTGTCTACCACTTGCTCATCTAGAATGAAAAATATCTTTCTCATGTACATCTCTGTGTCTGTTCTCCTTTTGCACTTCACAAGAACAAAAAGGATCTGTCCAGTTTGCTGTGCATTGTGTATGACAGGTGTTTGAAGGGAAAGCCAAAGTGATCTCATATGTGCCTGTTCTTCCAAGAGCACCTATACTGTGTCAACCTCAGGTGGTGGTGAGTTTTATGTTCTGCCAAGCCACAGATGGACAGAGCACACCTGCAGTCTTCAATGGTTTTACTTCTTGAATATCTTAGGACAGCTTTGGTTCACCTATGCCTGGTGCTTATGTCTAGGAAAATGGCCCCAAGCATGGTGACACACATCAGCTCACCAGCCTTGCCTCTTCAGCCCAGACAAACACCCAACAGGGTACCAAGCCACAAACATTTGGTCCCCGGGTTTGCGCGGTGGTGGAAGAGTTATTCAGGTAGACCTTCTCAAATGCCAGAGCTGTAAAGCAAAGCCATAATGGACTCAGGGAGCTGCTTTATCAGTTTAATAGCAGGGACCATGGGCTTGCTTTCACCTCAGTAAGAAGTGATGAGCCCTCAGGCATTTGCTTAAGATCCTATCAACCATCCTGGCAGGTAGCAACTGATTAGTGCCAATCTAAAAGCAGCTTGTGCAATACTATATCTCACAGCTATATTCACTCTGGACTTCTGATGTATTTTATTAAGTATTCCTTAGAGTCACTTACAATTTTCCTGCATGAGCTGTAAGGTCAAAGTAAAAACTAATATTCAGAATCCTAATGAGTTTCCTTTCCACATTTTTATTTTAATGGCGAGTTTGAAAAGGTCAAAGCAAGGTAGGATTTTAGGAAATAATTGTTTAGAGTAGTCTCTGGGTTATTGTGTTTCATTCATATAAGTTGATTATGCAAGATGCTAGATTTTTATTTGATCTCCACATCAATATTTTCATCTGATTATCTTCCATTCAGCTGCTATGCATGTTATATATACACTTTATATATACACTTTATTCCAACAAATATTCTTCCATCATTGTGAGACCATTTTAAGGTCACTTTTATTGATGTTCAAAGCTGAAGCCTGTAAATCGATGTCCCAGAAAAAGATCCAAATCACATTCTCTGTGACAGGATGTCAATTACTTTAGGTCTTCAAATACTCAATATTTGTGCTAGGATTTTGAATACATCCTTGAATATAGGGTTCACTGCACAATACATTTCACTGACTTTGTGAGCAGTTACTCCTAAAGCCAGGCAGAAAGCTGAGTGCAGTATCTAAGCTCTGTTTCACAGAAATGTAAAGCCCCTTTTTACTCTTGGATTTGAACGGATGAATTCTACCTCTAGCACAGCTTGGCATATCTTTGGGTGTCCCCGGATTAAGGGGTTTTGTTCTGTACTAAAAATGATGCAGCCTACTTTTCTCCTCAGGACTCATCACTGCAGTATTGGACAGACTATTTACTTTGATGATTTTCTTTCACAAAGTTCCCAGGCAGTGGAAAGCAAAACAACAGAAGCAAGCCAATGAAAGCATAACTCCATTCATCTTTAGCCAAATAGCCGCTAGACCCAAACTACTAAGGAATGCCCAGTCAGTGATCCCCTGGTACTGCAGAAAGGAAGTCATTAAATGAGGGTCATTAAGTGGATCAAAAAAAGCATACGGAGAAGGGAATGGAGTCAGTCATCATTTTATCGAAATGTTCTTATGCTTGTCTCTAGGGCTTCTAAGAGATACCTATCTTGCTGCTACCGAAGACCATACAGAAGATGCCATTATGAAAAATTTTATAAGAAGAAACCTGAAAAATCTCTTCTCATTGCTTGTCAGGGGCAGGAAATGTCTGAACTCCAGTAAAATCCATAAGAAAGAAGCATTTGTGTATTGCATCAGATCCATCAACTGTATATTGCTCTAGTCAGGATAGCCTGCTGTTGCCTCTAATCTGTCACTATGTTCAATTTATCCAGCAAGGGGTCACTTTGGCTCATTTCCTTGGTTTTAATCATCTTTGCTTTAGTTTCATCAAATAGAGAATGTGATAGGTACATAGATGCTGAGCAACATGACTGACCCGTAACTCCAAAAGACTCAGGCCTTCTGATAATGCTCTTTTTATTTAGCTTTGCTCATTTAAAGATGCAGCCACCTGAGAAGAAGCCCCTGAGTTTCATTATTGTGTATCCTTGGAGATGGCACAGCTTTGCTGTTATACAGTCCCAAGTAGGCATCCATACAAAGCACTGCTAGAAGGAGCACAGTTTTCCCCCAGTACCTGCAAGACCTCACCAGATTGGTGACCCCAGCTGGATGCAGCACCAGACTTGGAAGGGGAAGCTGGTTCTCAGGCCTGGGACAACACTGCCTGGTGAAGACACCTCCTTATGACCCAGAGGCCAGGCACAATACCAGGTGTCCACTGAGAAGTCCATGTTTCACATGATGAGGTTCTCCTAGTTCACTGCCTGTAAGGTTTTCTACTGAGATGTCTGTCTTAAAAGCCTCTCTTCTCTTTGTCCCTGCCATGGAGATAGATTTTAGAACCACTTTGGGCCAAATTTCAGAAAATAAGTCCTATAATGGCACCAGCTACTTAAGCTGGGAAAAAAATGTCCCTGTGGTTATACACAGCTTCCTGAACTCCCCTGGACTGTGGCTGGGAGGAATTGCACAGATGCTCATTTGTTGCTAAGTGTCATCTCCTCACCTGCAATTATAAGCCATTTTTAGAAGTTTTCTTTACAGAGACAAATAAGGAACTCAAAAAAAAAAAAAAAAAAAAAATCACTCCACTTACCTGTGCTGTTTAGAGCTTCCCTAAATCTGTCCACCCTTGTGGGGGAGGTAAGCCATGAGATACTTTGGCACGCACTCAGAGATTTCATAAGGTGAGAATGTGGATAAGAACAGTAAGTGCCATTTCTCAAGTAGATCCGAGCAAGACCAGACACTTTGCTGCTGCAAACTGAGGTAGAGCCAGCGATTTCAGTCAGTAGCACTCAGCCAACAGACACGGGGTAAACGCGTTGCCACTGGTGTCCAGTCCATGAGTCATCTGCTACTATCCCCCAGGCCTGCACTGAGCTGAAAATAGATCTAACAATATGGAGGAAGCAATATGGGAAGAGAGGCAGAAAAATCTGACACGTAATTGCTTGCATTATATCACATACGTTCATGTTGACTTCAAGGTCACTTAGCGAAGCGTTGGCTGGGTAGGTCTCTGGCCCCAGCAATAGTCCTCCCTCAATATTAAGCACAATGCTGAGCCCATTACACCACAGAGTCTTGCATCTATATTTAATCTACCACCTCATCCCAGGTCAAAGTGACCCGTAACAGACATTAAAAATAATTCTACGATTAAAGCGTATATGCTGCTCCATAGCCTGCCTCCCAGTTCATGCACTGCCCCTTCTGTCAGCCGTAAGCTCGGTTCCCAGCCCTTGCTCATGAGTCCCATGTGCCTACATTTTTCAGCATACCATGCACATTAATTTTATGAGATCTCTGCATAGGTCCGAAAGTCAGTCTACGTTGAATCACTTACATTAACAGGTCCAACAGCACATGCAACCCAACTTTTTTGTAAGCTTGCAAATGTGTTTCTGTGTCTGTTTGCCCTTTTACCCTCTTCATTTAGCTAGTTATGTGCAATTAAATTAACGAGTGAGACCTCCTGAGTCCCAATGCTGCAATTTTGACTGAAGAGCCAGGCTACACTGACTTCATCGGCTTGCTCTGTTGTCTGGCCTTGAAGGTCTGCTCATCTGCTCCAGGAATCTGGCCTGAAACCTTGACACTTTCCTCCTTACCATGTTCACTTATATGATCCATAAAATCACAAATGTGAATGAAAAAAAAGAAAAAAAAAAAAAGTTGTTTTAAGAACTTTGAAGTAGCTGAAATGTATTTACAAGCAGCAAACAGTTTTTGCAGGAAGAAAAAAAAAAAAAAATGGACAGACATTTGGCAATCTTATGTCAAGTAACCAGGCACTGGTGCATTGTGTACAAAGAATACCCACCTGAGATGAATTTCATTTATTGGTGAGCTTTGCTTTTACTAAAGAGGAAAAAGGGAATCTGAGAAAGAGTTAAGAATTTCCTCTCGTCTGATTACTGCTGACCTTCCATTAGTCACTGAAAACAAAATGGCTTGTAATGGGATCTTGTGGTTTCTATCGCTCTACAAAAGCCACTTTTACGAGGTCGCAGCTTGATGACTCTGATGAGTCACACCTCATGAAAAAAAATGCATGAATTTGTGAGCAGTAAGCTCTGGCGGTCAGGGGATGTGAATGGTCCCCCCAGGTCCCCCTCGCAGGGAACCACTGCCAAGGGCTGGCGAGCAGGATCTCTGCTGGTCTCAAGGGCAGTCCACAGCTGCTGGGGATGCTGGACTGCTCACAGGGGGGTGAAAGGCTCACGCACTCCGTGTTGGGGAGCACAACTGGAGCCATATATGCAAAAGGGTGAGGAGGAACAGAGGCTGCTTCTCAGCATGTGTTTGGATTTATTTGCAATTGACCACATCAGATAGCACAGCAACCATTGTAAAATTGTTTTCCTGCATCTAACTACAGCCTACTATGGCATCCAAAGTAAATTTTCCTAATGTCCAGACAGAAAGAAAATAGACCAAAAAAACCATACACATCTTGCTGCCACCAGCACCATCAAAACCACCTCTGAACCATACGCTACCTATAGGTTTGGGGTAAGCAGTACCATGTATATTGAATTTATTGCATGCATCAAGTAGAATAACCACAAGTAAACGTTATCACATAAAGTAGAGTCTGGTATCCATACCTAGCATACATATCAGTTGTTTTTTAAATAAAGAAATGTATTTCTCCACTACTCTTATGTAACATATTAAACAGGTGTGTTTGTTTGGTTTTTTTTAGGGGGAACTCAATACATGAACATCTCAAAGATCAACCTGCAAGAAGCCTTGAGCTATTTAACTCTTAAGGAGAGCTCCAAATACTTTTATAAGTGTCAGTCATGAATTCGACTGATGCCTGCTGGTGACAGAAGAATCAAACCAAAGGCTGGTGTACAGTCATGCTGGTACACACTCATGCAAAGTAAGCAGAAGAGTTGCTTAAAGCATTAATGATAATTCCAATACATTTAGTATAAGATTGGTTAATGGATCATTCACAAATTGACCTTCCATTTTTTAATACGCATTTGTTCTTCACAAGTATTTTCTGAAAAGCTTTAAAAAAAACCACAAACAACAATAACAACAACAACAAAAAATCCTTCAGACTCCTTTTGTTCTGAACTCTCTACTTTACAGCTAAAAGTTAAGAGCCATGATGTGTGGTGACTCACCTGTTGTATGGTGTCTGCTCTGTGAAGTGATCATTAGGAAACTAGAAGATCAGAGCTGCAGAACTGTTTGGTTGGAAGAGACCTCTGGAGGTCACCTGGTCCAACCCTCCTGTTCATCTCCTTCTAGATGGTGAAGCATGATTTTCCCTTCGTCCTTCTTCCTTGGCTTAGATCTTCCCTCTGGCCTCAGAGGCTTGGGACACCTGGAGGGTAATTTTAGCAGTACAGACTAAGGAGGGAAGGCACTAAGTACCATTGCCTTTTCCATGTCATTTGTCACCAGTTCCCCTGCCCCATTCAGCAGTGGGCCCATGCTTTCCCTTCTCATCCTTTTGCTGTTCCTATGCCTGCAGAAGCCTTTCTTGTTGCTCTGCACATCTCTCACCAGATTCAATTAGGCCTCAGCTTTCTGAAACCTCATTTCTGCAAGTTCAGACATCATCTCTACAGTACTCCTGGGTGACCTCCCCCTGCTTCCACCTCACTTGCTTCCAGTCTGAATGCACCTCAGCACTGTTTGCACATCCATACAGGCCTCCTGCCACCCACACTTGATTTTCTGCTTTTTGGGATGGACTTGAGGAGCCAGCTCTCCTGGATCCCTCTTCTATCCAAGGCCATAAACCATGGGAATCTTCCAAGCAGATCCCTGAAGAGGTTGAAATCTGCTCTCCTGAAATCCAGGATTGTGGTCCTACTTTTTGCCTTTCTCCCATCTTTTAAGATCCTGAACTCCACTATCCTATGATCACAGCAGCCAAGGCTTCCTCCAACTTTGATATCTCCAACCAGTTCTTCCTTGTTTGTAGCATCAGGTCCCTGTTCACAGTTTGCTCTACAATCACTTGATTTGTACAATACCACTTTTGCTCTACACCTTGTGCAGTAACGCTGCCCTGTGCTGATGAGTACCTCCCTGTGAACATTGGTTTGAGTTTGCAGCACTGACAGTAAAAGCTGTTCTCACTAGGTACAAATGCCAGGAAGCCACATGCTACATCACTTTGTTTCCTGACAGTACCTATATAACTCATAAAATTAGATTTTTGGCACAAATCAACACCATGGAACTGACAGGATATTCTATCATCACTGTTTAAAACGTGATGTTTAGTCAAAAGTATGCCCAGTATATCATCATAACACACACACATACACAAATGAATATTCCCTTTAAAGCTCCTTTTTTAAATATCTATCTAAGCTTGGCAAAATACTAAAATCAGCATGCTCAAGCCCTCTGCCTAATGGAAGGTTAATTCTCATAAAATCGAGATGAATGTTTGCAAATACCATTTTACAGCCCTCATTCATCTCTACAGTGAGAGACTGAATACTCTTTAAAATATCAGCTCTGCAACACTATCAACAGAAAGCAAGGATTTTGGCTGCCCGAACCAAAATAGCTAACAGAGCCTTAGTTTCCAAGGATGGGTACTTAAAGCTCTTTGAATATGAGACTTTTTTAAAGGCGTCTGAACTTGGCTTCCCAAAAAACAAAGGCAATGAAAATCACTAAATAGCTTTGAAAAGCAGCCTGTAACTTCAGTGTTGCCTGATTTTTAACTGTTGAAAATTGGAACCTCAATGTTATACTAACACATGTTTTTACATTTTCCCTAGAAACAGATGGAATAATGTTGCTCATGCTATGCCAACACCATGTTGTTACAGAGTCTTTATTAAAATTGCTTCAAGGCAAAAAGCTGTATGCACAAAGGCAAGGGGTGGGGAAAGTTGGCAACTCATTAAGATTTTCAGACTTGAGTTGTTTAACACTCAGCCAGCACCGTGCATCATAAATAAATATCCATAACTTCACAAGGCGTGGGGAGGCTGTGGGCATTGCTGGTTGCTGGGTGAATTGAGCCTGGGAGACCCTTGCCATGCAGAAGGGAGCCAAGACAGACAACAAATAAAAAGGAAGAAAATGAAAAGGGAGAGCATGTACAAAATGAAGAGAAACTCGACACATTAAATTAGAAGCATGAGAGAAATGAGATTTAAAGGAAATAATAGGATTGAGAAATTAACGTCATATTTTCCTTAAATCCAGGGGGAAAAAAATCCTTCCTTATCTTCCTCAGAGATTAATCCCAGTTACTGACAAACTTCACATATAGAAGATAGGCATCTGTGTGTGTATACATATATAAATATGTCGTGAATATGTGCTTCTAAAACATGATCCAAAGCCACTGAATTAGATGGAACGATTCCAATTTGGCTTTAGTGGGTTTTGGACCAGGTCCTCAAACTTTTCAGTTTTGAAAAAAGAAAGGGACAATCAAATGCCAGATTAATTCCTGTTCTGAAAAATCAAAGTTGAGTTACCAACAACAACAAAAAGCAACAAACAGCTTTTAATCTTCCAACCATGTAAATGCCTTCAATTAACTAACATTGATTTCCCTTTGCCTGTACTGAGAATTTTTATGTCCCAAAATGAAGCAGTAAAAACACTTCCATGATAACCATAAAAATCACTGGAGGGAAAATAAAGTTTTCTGTTTCATTACCTTTTCTGTGTGGTAATCAATTACAAAGGAAGAGCAGTGCAGGTTCAATTAAGTAACTAAATAAAAAGGAATTAAAAGCCACAGGGGATCTTTATTTTACTTATGTTAAAGTGGGGTCCGACTCCAGGCCTCATTGACTTGGTTGTAGTATATAATGGGGTTTAATTTCTGTGAACCGGTCTGTCAGCATTAGCTGATCATAATTAGGAAAATGGGGTTAGAGAAAACAGAGCTACTGAAAATAGCTTTTCCCAAGTGTAGCTTTCTCTCCAAATGGGATTATCCTGAGCATTCAGCACATTGCAATATATAAATGAACCATTTGGCAAAACAAAGGTGCCTCCTTTGAAACACGGGACACAATTCAGGAAAACACTGGGTGCTCTGTCCCAGTTCAGTAAGTGTGTGAGCGCATGCTTACCTTTAAATGCTTGCTTAGGTCTTCCATTGACTCAAGGATTAGCATGTGCTGAAAAAAGCCCTCAGTGTCTTGCAGAACAGCAAGTTCCTATTAAGTCGTGAGAGATTCATTTAAAAAGGAAATATGATTTTTTTTTAGAACTCAAAAAAAATAGCTGTGGATTTGGTTTTGGGTTTCTTATTTTGAAATCTTGGCTCTTACTTTAGTCAAACAATTATCACGACTTTATTATAGGCAGTTAGCTTCACGTGGGCAAAAATAAGACTCCTGGAGACATACACAATATAAGACCTGTTCAGATAGACGAATGGAAAATTTAAGAGGGACTGGCACGTAGGGGATGCTTTGCCAATGAAAAGCGTGGCTCTCGGATTCACGTTTACACAGATGCCAGTGCATACACACCTGCAGAAATAATCACAGGAAAAATGGGGATTCCACTGACACCCACAGCAAAAGCCTGAGAGCCTGCAATGAAGCCATGGTTTCATCCATGACCTGTACGTACATTGGCTGGGACTTACCACCTCTAACTCCAGCCACTGGTTCCAGGCTACACCAACCGTGTGTGTGTGTGTTTATGGGGAGCACCTGGAGAAGGAGCCACTCCACCAACCACAGTGGGGTGGGCTGTCCCTCTGGCAACACATGCCAAACCAAAGGCACCAAAATGCCTCTTGGTTTCCCCTCGGATCTCAAACATCTCTACCCCTCTGCAGTTCATCACCTGTCCCTTCAGCGGGGCTCCATGCTGCTGCAGCCAGGTCTTGCTCCCTCCACATCCACCAGCTGAGGAAGGCCCGAGGGCAGGAAAGCACCAGCATCCCTCTTAGGCAGCTGGCAGTCCACCAAGCATTCCACCTAGCCATTTAAAGCCAGAGGGAGGCACGTCCCATCATGTTTCAGAAGGAGCAGGCACACCTTATGTCTCACCAAGAGCTGCCCCTCCAAAGGGCAAGGATTTAAAAGCACTCTCACAAATCTGCTTGCAGAAAGATAACTCAGTGTTTCTCATAAATCAGGCCACTTGATTTAACTGCCAAGATATTCAACAAAATTCTTTTTTAGGCTGCTCATTTTTCATTGCTTCAGGCTACGTTTAACCAAATAATCTTACCATAAATCTGGGCTCCCACTGCCATTCATTATGAAGTGAGCCTTGTTTAGAAGTTCTTAGAATCGGTACATTCCTCCTGAATGACAATCCTCAAACGTCTTTCATTTCAAAAGGAGCAAAATGGAAATCGGTTCTTCTCCAAGTTTACCAGAAGGGCAGCCAAGCACTGATGTTATACAGTAAGATCTCAAACTGGGAACTAGGCAGCTATTTTAATCAGTGGACTTATTTCACGTCTGTCAAGGACAGTATATTTAGAACTGGACAAGCTGTTTCTTCACTGCACCCATAATCTTAAAAAAATGACCCAAGCACCGCATTTCTCAGATGGGTTCTTTTGCACTTTGGCAAACCCCCATGAAAGAGCATTTAGATAACACTCCAGCTATCAGCAGGGCCAGGATTTAAAAAGTGCAAAGAAGCATCCCCAAAGTGTAGAGCCAGAGCCGTTGTTGCTGTTTAACCAATCATAGCTATTTAATCAAGTCTTCTGGGCACCGTCAGATCATTTGAGTGAATCACTCAGGTCAAGGCACGAAAATAAAATAAGTTCCTTTATCACCTCTTATCTGCCCAGAGTAGAGTGTATGTGAAAGTGATGTAAGTGATGACCTCTGTGAAACTGAAACAGCAAACGGCAGAGGAAAGATCTCCTGCTGCACTGAGGCAGAGCTTTTCTAAGGTACCACTTCCCAGCCAACCCATGCAGCAGCGCAGTAGACTGCCGGTGTTTCCAGGAGAGCCTAGCCCCCTGTTTGGGCATCAAAACCAGCAGCAGGATTGCAGAAAGAAGCTCGGACCAGGCTTCAAAAAGTCAAGGTAAAAAGGCAGGTACTTACCACTGTATCCTCTTCTATGTCCTCTCAGCAGCAGGTGGGGAGCTTGGATTTGGGACCTCCTGCAGTCAAAATGCAGTCTCAGAGCCCTTTGGACTTGCATCCTGTTGATGGCAAGGCAGTGAGAGCAAGGGCCGTGCTCTGCATCCATGTCAGCAGACTGTCTGTCCTTTAGGGGACTTCTCAGCACGCCTTTACAAGTATACGAGTAACAAGAAAACACTGGAAAAAAAAACAAACAAACAAACAAAAAAAACACTAAGTTGTGAGTTTGGGTCTCTGATATGCTAGTGAATGAAGCGCTTAGCAAGGCTGAAATTAAATTACCTGTTGCCCACACAGCACCACAGACTGGGGACTGCTCCAGACTCTCTCCCCACAGCCCTTCAGGGTGCCCCACACCAGCCATAGCACAGGACCACCATGGAGCGACCCCCAAAGAGACAGAAAATTCAGGAGAACTCAAAAGAAAAAACAACCAGCTGTGCCTCCTGCTCTCATCACAAGCTACCATATGCTATTTCCAGAATCTTGTGAGAGATTTTTCTTTATCACCAGTGCCATACCCCACAGTGCCTTTTGCCCTCCTTGCCTGCACGAGTCACAGCTCTGTAATAACAGGCACTGCTCACCAGGGCCAGACCCTCTCTGTACAAAAGCCCAGCAGAGTGACGCCACATTTTACTGCTGTTGTAAACAGCAGCTTCAAGGTCAAGAGCTGAGGTCCAAACCCATTCCTCCTACACCCACCAAACCTGAAGTTGTTTTAAAAACAGTATTTCACAGGAAAAAAAAAAAAAAAAAAAAAAAAAGAGCTATAATGCTGATAAGACTTGCAAGCTAGCAAAATACCATTTCCTCCATTAATGCCTGTAGAGTTCTAGCATTCTTGCCATAATTTGCATGCAGATGTACCGTAGGTACTGAGAAAGAGATTGGAGACTCAGAAGAAGCAGGAAATGACCACTTTCTAGGGTACAGAGTCAGCTTGTTTTGTACAAACCGTCTGGCTTACTAAAACAGACTTGTCTTAGACTTGCCAGCCAAGCGATATGAGCTACTGATGTACGTCTGGAAAATATTTATGATAAAAATTATGGTTGCAGGAAGAATAGCAAGTAAGTAGCTGATCCAGCTGGCATGCAAATTGGGCACAATGTTTATCAGCACAAATATGTTCATCAGCACTACCACCTAGTCCTTCTGGAGAGCAGCAGGTACTCGGAGATCTTCATGACCCTTGAGTTTCCTAAATGATCATAAATATTATTTCCATCTTATGTAACACAGGAGAAGGCGTTTGACCATCTGTTGTACAGCTTGACACAGCAGCATCAGGGCTCTTGCCCTGACCCACACTGAGGTGGGAAATGGGTCACTTGAAGCCTTTGATTTCAACTTTTAGGTATCGACAGACTCACTGTGCAACCAGACCAACTTATATGTCCTTAGGAAACCAGGCTAGTAGCAGCCTGGTAAGGATCCATAGTCTTGCCTGGCTATTAAATAAGATAGTCTAGGAATCACTATATTGGAGCACACCTTAATGCTGCTAAAGGAGGAGAAACCAGCTCCCAGCCATCCAGCCCATATTACTGGGTAAAAGTTGAAGGCAACACCTGGTGAGATCTAAAAAAAACAGGATCTGCTTCAACATTTGACCTCTCCAGGAGTGTCCTGAGACCCACTCTGCCAGTGAAACCCAGCAGAGCACAGTACACTTCCAGGGTATCTGTGCTCTCTTGCTAGCCTAGGAGACCCCAGCCACACTAGTTTTTCATTGTAGGTTTTCCAGCCCCATGGCGATCCTACATTACACTGTTTTAAAAGGGCCAGATCACCATGTGTCATATCACTGAAAAATACAAATTGTCTCTAAATCCATAAATGCTGTGCTCAGTTTCTTGATGGGCAAGGTCTGTCATTGTGACCTGGTTCCTTGCAACCCCCCAACCCCATTTCTGTAATATAAGAGAAAGAAAAGCTCCCTATCTGATTTCATACAAACCTTATTTCTTTGTTTCAGCACAGCTTGGACAGCTTCAGGGATCCAAGACCGGCTTTGTGCCCATCCTGCTCAGGCTTTCTAGAAATGACTTTGTTCCAACGTGGGTCATTCAGACTGTGGGATAACTGGAAATTTCAGTGTTTATTAGTTTTCATTTTCAGCACTGAGTGCATTTTCAATGTTGACTCACAGAAGTGATTTTTAAAGGAATAATTGCTTCCAGATGTCATGCATATTTTCCTCTGAAGGAATACTGCAATCTTTGTTAAGGTTACAGAGCTAGAAAGACTGCTTTCCCCTATCTGAGTGGCTCTTTTGAGAGGAATTGGGAACCCTACTTGCTCCATGTAGAACCTACAAATGTAGGTAGGAGTTAGGACTAAGACCTCTGACATAGACACTTATTTGGTATGACACACTCTGTAAAGAAGAAACATTGAGCATGCACCCACAATACAACTTTTGGTTTGCTCTATAGTGAGAATATTGTGTTGGGGTGTTTCAGTACAGCCCAGTGCAAAGACATCAAAAATAGGTCTTCCTAGAAGACCTAGATCTCTAATTTTAAAGGAACACCCTCATACTAGATGCAAACACACTTCTGCTAATGCCAAGTCCTCCTCAACTTCAGTGTGAAAAGAATGGGAAAGGACAGAAATACTCAAAAAGGAGGCACAGGGAAAAAAATCTGCCACTGGAGACATGCTCAGTTTTCATTGGTTTCAATTCCACTTTTTCTTTAGAGAGCTTATTTCTGGTCTCTTTCTCTCTCACTATTAAAACATATGCACACATACCAGGGTAAGGGAAAGAATGTACATAAAATAATTCAAAGATAAGGTCAGAGCACAGAAATACAGTTTTATCCCTGCTGGGAATCTGTAGTTAAATTGTCCAAACACTGAGAGCATGCTCTAAGTTATCCCTGAGCACTTTCATAGCAGCATTTGGGGGTGATGTGCTTACAAGAACTGTGCTGCTGTACTATGCATTACTTAATGAAGGCTCCTGATTCCGTTATCCTAAATTTCCAGTTCCAGAAGGCATTATGTCTATAAACATAACTGCTTGTTGAAAGACAGATGTGTTCTACCCACCTGGCACAAAATAAGCGTGAGGAGGATTTCATGCGAGGCCCATTAAGCTGGAGGAAGGACGGAAGGAGATCACCTGCTTCAGAACATGTTGAAAAGGCCTCATTTGGACACAGGCACAGAGCAGCTGAAACACTCATACAGAGAGGAAAATGGCAGATGAAGACAGAATATTTGCAGTTTGTTGTTTGTGAGGTCCTGCAGGTTTGTTTCAAAAGAAGATTGTAGGGTAACCAACTAAAGTTGTTGCAAATTACTGGAAAATGCTAATCGGCTGAAAGGTACATGACACCTTTGAGGAAAAAATCATTCTATAACTTGATAGCAGAGAATTTTAGTAAGATTTAAATGCTCCATTTCAGCCTTTCTGCAATGGAACAATCCTTTTTCTATCTTGAAAACATTTAAAAAACATTCTGTGAAATACAGTAAAATCCACTACGTATCATTAGATCAGCAAGCTTTATGAAACTTTTTGTTTTTTTCCATCCTGCATCAAGAAAAAGAAATGAAATTGCAAACCTTCCCACAAAATGAAAAATTAAATGATCTCACTGCTTTACAACTAAGAGTGGGCGGTGTTGAAAACTACTGTCCTAATAACACAGGACAAGACTGACGGCACTAAAAAAAGGGCTAGAAAAAATACAGCTAGAAATAAACTGTCCTCTGCATCAGAACGCTCCATAATAGGTAGGAAAATATGTCTCTTTTCCTACAGAAATAGATTATATGGAACACGATCATTTTGTATACAACACCTACTTCAGAAAGGCCCAAGAAGCTGTAATACTCAAAATTAGAATACAAAACCAAACTTGTGTCCATGTTCAGCTAAACTCTGAATTTCATTCTACTACTACTAGTAAGTACACGTTAAAATATTTTGAAGAATGGAATGGAACACAGGTTTAATATAAACGGTTAACTGGTAAGCCCTGAAAACATCCATGAAAATTTAAGTCTGTGTGTAAAGATCTCTTGAGCAGGACTGATTTTCTGAACCAAATTAATTGTAGTCGAAGCCATAGCACATACAAAAAGCTGAAGTCCCCCCAAAACTTAGCATATTGTTGTGAGCAGGCAGCAACCACCAGATCTGCACCCCTAAGCACACATGGTATTTTGCTCTCTGAGCTCTAAATAACTAAATTATTAATGTGAGAGAGATTATAAGTTAAGCTTTCAACTAGTTGATTATATCAAAGAATTACTACAGATGGTGATGGAGCCATCTATTATCACAAACTGCCCGATGGGTCTCATGACATTCTCCTATGTTCAGCTCTTCATATCTTCACCAAGACACAGACAACTTTCTTAAACCACATCTGAAGCCCTTAGATATCTCTTTACAATCTGCTGAGACCTCAGCAATCACCAAAATGAGGTTCCAAAATGTAATGTTTTGCCCAGGTTGAAGAAGTCCCCTATCTCACCTGTTTTGTTGAAAAGTTCTATTGCCTCCAAAGTACTAAGTCTCAGCACTGCAACCTGGTAGAGGCTACCACAGTGAGGAATGTACTTTCTGGCGTCCCCACAAACTCTCCCAAACCTGATCAGGCCATGAATCTGACAAAAAATAATTACACTTCACACATATCCAACAGGCCCTTAGCTCAAAGTGCAGGGCCAGAGCCTCTGAAGTCCAGCTACACGAACATGCTGCACAGCTCCTCTCTCTGTAGGGCACAGCCACAGACTACCCTATAATGCACAGCACGTGGCACTGAGTTTATGCAGGACATAATTTAATCTGATTCTTTTCATCCCTATATTCCCTAACACTTGAGTGCTCAACTTCATGATCTTCAAGTTCATTAAATTTTACTTGGACATCGTATGAAGTACATCAAGCCACCCACCGAGCCTTCACACAAAAGTATTAGAAAAAAATCACCAGGCTACCAAAGCACTCCTTTAAATATCTTCATTTTAACTGAAAGCAGCATAAATAGCCTCAAAGAGAACTTTGAGGAAATAGGAGTTTCCAAAGGAGTTAGACATTAGGACAGCCTGTGTTGACCATAGCTCATCTCGTGTAAGAGGTACTTGCTCCACGCTGGAGATGTGCAGAGGTCCTGCAAGCACAAGCGGTGCCTGGAGAGCCTGGGCTGTGGCTCAGTACTGGGGAAACGTGCTGGTTTTGCACTTTCTAAATACTACTCTTTACTTGTTATTTGAAGCTGCACTAACAGGCATTTCTGCAGCAGCTGGCAGAGGTACTGCGTAAAGACCCAATTCAAACTAATGGTTAGGTTCATTTTAGAAATGTGTCTTCACTTTAAAATAGGACCAAGTCTTGACAGCGCCAAAGTCTTGCAACATGACTAATTTCAAATGGCAGAAATCCTACGAGATCTGATATTTTGCAAGATTTCCCATCTACATGCCTTCCAGCTTGAGAAGCAATTCAGAACCACAGCTATAGGCACGCATCCAGCTACAAAGATATGACATGGACTAATCTCTATTTTAAACCCTTCTTCTCCTCCATTTGGTAGCTCCATTATGAAACATACTTTTTTGGCTTTGAAGCTTCTGACTCTACCACTGTGTGTTTGGAGTTGGTTTCTCTTGGTTCAGCTGGGAATTAAATACTTTATGACCTTACCTGGCAATTAGC